CAATGTCTTTCTTTCATAGCCTGACTTGCTTCACTCAGCAATAAATCTTCCATATTCGTACACTTTGTATCAAATTCCAGGGCCTTGTTTTTTATGAGCGAGTAATATACCATAGAGTATATGTGCCACACTTTTTCAATCCATTCATCTGTTTGTGGACATTTGAGTTGGTTCCATGTCTTAGCAATCATGAATAAGGCTGCAATGAATATAGATGTGCAAGCTCTTTTCTGACTGAGCATTCTCCTTCTCAGGATTTTGGGCACATGTGCATGCACACCCAGTGCGAGTCTTAAGCTGCTAGGCCTGGGACTTGAACCATAGTTGACCACATGGGAGTCTAGTGCCTTAACCACTACCATGCCACCTGCTGGCCCCAGGATTTAATTTTTAAAAAGGTAGTTAGCATATCACTGTAAATAACTGTACTGTTAGGACAAGTGAGGTGAGCTTCAGCAATTTAACTGGACATTTAACTCTATTTGCACATAGACTGTCTCATGGTTATTACACGAAATGGGTGACATCAAGTCACATACCAATGTACCAGTAACAGGAATATTTTGCTTAGGATACTATAAAAATTAGACCTACATGGTGAAGCTGAATGGGTAGAATGAAATAAACCCTACTTCACTGGAAACATACACATTCACATATGCATGCAAAACACACACAACAGGTAACACATAGGACTTACAGGTCCAGGTTTGTATGTCACTTTCAGTCCTGTGCTGGGTGGGGGCTGCTTCACCCTAAATCTACCAGGCAGAAGGAAATAAATTTAACACCATTATGAGAAACATGAGCAATCAGTAAGCTGAGATGTGATAAAATTAAGAAGGTGTTAATATTTGCTCCATGGGAGCTGGGAGCCCACACCATTAGAGAATCAACCTTAATGTGCAAGTGGGAGAAGAAACTGAGGCCCATTTCGGAACTACCTTTCCAACAGTTTTGTCACCATAAAACCGACTCCGGCCTGAGTATGAACCCGCTGTTATTGGTGGCTGACGAGCAGCATGGGCCTGGACAGGGTGTCCTGTTTGGCTGGTGTGTGCATTTCAGCGTAGCTGCCAGTGTGCAGGCAAGCTGGATCATTAAGCTGAAGAATAAAGGCTTTTTTGGAAAGCAGTGGAGCATGGAGGGTAGTCTTGCTCTGTCTTGTTATGGGGCTTGCATGTTTGAGGAGAGGAGAAACAGAAAGAACCCAAAGTACAGAAGAACTTGGAAAGCTCTGTGCTCACATGTGACTCTTATTGCCCTTTCCTGTGGTTTGTGGGTTCTGCCTGAAGGTTAAAGACCTGGAGCAAATTAAAATGCCAAGGAAAGCCCACCTCTACTCTGACCCCTACCCACTCCTACCACTTACTTTGCTGTCTGCTCTAGCATGGCTGAATTTAACAAGCTCAGGAGTGAAATCTTTAAAGCTAAAATTTTAAACTGCAGACAGGATCTGCACGGATGCATTTTATTAGTTGAGGTTGACACTATTTCTCCCCACCCACTTTGATGACCATCTAAAGGAACAATAAAGTCTGATGCAGTAGCCTGAGTTCCTCCTTGAGTTATTTCTGGGGAAGCAAATATCCTAAAGTTGGGGACTTTTCTCCATTAAAATAAGACAGTAGTCTTTCAAACTGGAAGCTCCTATTGCTTTGTTTCATCTAATTGCCAATCCTATGTCCAGAATCACATTTTTAAAAAAAAGTTTTTGCCATAGAGCATGTTTACTTGCCAGAAAGAGACAGTGAGAGGGAAAGTGAGAAATCACCTCCCAGGAGTGATGGTCATGCCACAATCCCTTCTCCTCCATTCTTCTCTTGGGATTTTGGGCACACACGCCCAGAATGTTTTTTAAGCCTCCGCGTCTAGGACTTGAACTCTGGTCAGGCATGTGGGAGTCTAGCACCTTAACCACCAAGCCACCTGCTAGCCCCTATATCACAAACATTCTTAAAGGACTTGTCAATTATACTGAGAATAACTCTACAACTGAAATCAATCTATTCCTTTTATGAGGAGAAATAAAACCCATATTGTACTTAAGTTTAATTTAAAATAAAAGACAAGACACTTTGTAGTTGGAACATTCTTGGGATGGATACAGTTTTTTCTCCATATTCATGGCAGATTAGTTCTAGGACCATCACCCTCCTCACCCCAAATAGCAGAATTTGAGGGTGCTCAAGTTCCTTATATAAAATCGTGATGTATTTTCATATAATCTGTGCACATCCTCTCAAATACTTTAAATCATTTTTGGATTACTTACAGTACCTAATACAATAGAAATGCTATGCATATAGGTGTTATACTGTATTGCTTAGGGAATAACGACAAAAAGTCTGTACAAGTTCAGCACAGACGCAACCATCACATGCCTCACTACACAGTACACATCAGCAACAACATACACTTTTAGTCTTTTTTTTTTTTTACTTTTTAAATTGCTAGAGGGCATGTATGCTCACCAGAGACCATAGTTGACCACATGGGAGTCTAGTGCCTTAACCACTACCATGCCACCTGCTGGCCCCAGGATTTAATTTTTAAAAAGGTAGTTAGCATATCACTGTAAATAACTGTACTGTTAGGACAAGTGAGGTGAGCTTCAGCAATTTAACTGGACATTTAACTCTATTTGCACATAGACTGTCTCATGGTTATTACACGAAATGGGTGACATCAAGTCACATACCAATGTACCAGTAACAGGAATATTTTGCTTAGGATACTATAAAAATTAGACCTACATGGTGAAGCTGAATGGGTAGAATGAAATAAACCCTACTTCACTGGAAACATACACATTCACATATGCATGCAAAACACACACAACAGGTAACACATAGGACTTACAGGTCCAGGTTTGTATGTCACTTTCAGTCCTGTGCTGGGTGGGGGCTGCTTCACCCTAAATCTACCAGGCAGAAGGAAATAAATTTAACACCATTATGAGAAACATGAGCAATCAGTAAGCTGAGATGTGATAAAATTAAGAAGGTGTTAATATTTGCTCCATGGGAGCTGGGAGCCCACACCATTAGAGAATCAACCTTAATGTGCAAGTGGGAGAAGAAACTGAGGCCCATTTCGGAACTACCTTTCCAACAGTTTTGTCACCATAAAACCGACTCCGGCCTGAGTATGAACCCGCTGTTATTGGTGGCTGACGAGCAGCATGGGCCTGGACAGGGTGTCCTGTTTGGCTGGTGTGTGCATTTCAGCGTAGCTGCCAGTGTGCAGGCAAGCTGGATCATTAAGCTGAAGAATAAAGGCTTTTTTGGAAAGCAGTGGAGCATGGAGGGTAGTCTTGCTCTGTCTTGTTATGGGGCTTGCATGTTTGAGGAGAGGAGAAACAGAAAGAACCCAAAGTACAGAAGAACTTGGAAAGCTCTGTGCTCACATGTGACTCTTATTGCCCTTTCCTGTGGTTTGTGGGTTCTGCCTGAAGGTTAAAGACCTGGAGCAAATTAAAATGCCAAGGAAAGCCCACCTCTACTCTGACCCCTACCCACTCCTACCACTTACTTTGCTGTCTGCTCTAGCATGGCTGAATTTAACAAGCTCAGGAGTGAAATCTTTAAAGCTAAAATTTTAAACTGCAGACAGGATCTGCACGGATGCATTTTATTAGTTGAGGTTGACACTATTTCTCCCCACCCACTTTGATGACCATCTAAAGGAACAATAAAGTCTGATGCAGTAGCCTGAGTTCCTCCTTGAGTTATTTCTGGGGAAGCAAATATCCTAAAGTTGGGGACTTTTCTCCATTAAAATAAGACAGTAGTCTTTCAAACTGGAAGCTCCTATTGCTTTGTTTCATCTAATTGCCAATCCTATGTCCAGAATCACATTTTTAAAAAAAAGTTTTTGCCATAGAGCATGTTTACTTGCCAGAAAGAGACAGTGAGAGGGAAAGTGAGAAATCACCTCCCAGGAGTGATGGTCATGCCACAATCCCTTCTCCTCCATTCTTCTCTTGGGATTTTGGGCACACACGCCCAGAATGTTTTTTAAGCCTCCGCGTCTAGGACTTGAACTCTGGTCAGGCATGTGGGAGTCTAGCACCTTAACCACCAAGCCACCTGCTAGCCCCTATATCACAAACATTCTTAAAGGACTTGTCAATTATACTGAGAATAACTCTACAACTGAAATCAATCTATTCCTTTTATGAGGAGAAATAAAACCCATATTGTACTTAAGTTTAATTTAAAATAAAAGACAAGACACTTTGTAGTTGGAACATTCTTGGGATGGATACAGTTTTTTCTCCATATTCATGGCAGATTAGTTCTAGGACCATCACCCTCCTCACCCCAAATAGCAGAATTTGAGGGTGCTCAAGTTCCTTATATAAAATCGTGATGTATTTTCATATAATCTGTGCACATCCTCTCAAATACTTTAAATCATTTTTGGATTACTTACAGTACCTAATACAATAGAAATGCTATGCATATAGGTGTTATACTGTATTGCTTAGGGAATAACGACAAAAAGTCTGTACAAGTTCAGCACAGACGCAACCATCACATGCCTCACTACACAGTACACATCAGCAACAACATACACTTTTAGTCTTTTTTTTTTTTTACTTTTTAAATTGCTAGAGGGCATGTATGCTCACCAGAGAGCAACAATGAGAAAGGACATCCCAATGGGGCATAGTCACAATGCAATCCTCCCATTGGTTGGGGGTACACACACACATACACATGCCTGCTGTGTTTTTCTTTCTTTCTTTCTTTTTTCTTCTTTGAGAGAGATTTTTGCTATAGAGTAGGTGCACTCACTAGAAAGATAGAAACAGAGACAGAAAGCTAGAACCATTCTTCTCTTGGGATTTTGGGCACACACGCCCAGAATGTTTTTTAAGCCTCCGCGTCTAGGACTTGAACTCTGGTCAGGCATGTGGGAGTCTAGCACCTTAACCACCAAGCCACCTGCTAGCCCCTATATCACAAACATTCTTAAAGGACTTGTCAATTATACTGAGAATAACTCTACAACTGAAATCAATCTATTCCTTTTATGAGGAGAAATAAAACCCATATTGTACTTAAGTTTAATTTAAAATAAAAGACAAGACACTTTGTAGTTGGGAACATTCTTGGGATGGATACAGTTTTTTCTCCATATTCATGGCAGATTAGTTCTAGGACCATCACCCTCCTCACCCCAAATAGCAGAATTTGAGGGTGCTCAAGTTCCTTATATAAAATCGTGATGTATTTTCATATAATCTGTGCACATCCTCTCAAATACTTTAAATCATTTTTGGATTACTTACAGTACCTAATACAATAGAAATGCTATGCATATAGTTGTTATACTGTATTGCTTAGGGAATAACGACAAAAAGTCTGTACAAGTTCAGCACAGACGCAACCATCACATGCCTCACTACACAGTACACATCAGCAACAACATACACTTTTAGTCTTTTTTTTTTTTTACTTTTTAAATTGCTAGAGGGCATGTATGCTCACCAGAGAGCAACAATGAGAAAGGACATCCCAATGGGGCATAGTCACAATGCAATCCTCCCATTGGTTGGGGGTACACACACACATACACATGCCTGCTGTGTTTTTCTTTCTTTCTTTCTTTTTTCTTCTTTGAGAGAGATTTTTGCTATAGAGTAGGTGCACTCACTAGAAAGATAGAAACAGAGACAGAAAGCTAGAAATCAGCTCCCAGAGGGGATGGTCATGCTGCAATCCTTCCTCCTCCATTCTTCTTTCAGGATTTTGGGTACACACACACACACACACACACACACACACGCCCAGTGTGAGTTTTAAGTTGCAGAGTCCACGACTAGAAATCTGGTCTATTATGTGGCAGTCCAGCAACGTAACCATTACACCATCTGCTGGTCCCGCCTGGTGTGTTTTTCAAGTCACTGGGGCCTGGACTTGAACCCTGCTTGGCCATGTGACTTCTGGGCTCCCTATGCACAGAGTTTAATCACTGTGTTATGGAACTGGCCCAGGAACATTTTCAATCCCAAGTTGATTGAACTTTTATGCAGAACCTATGGATAGGGAGGACCAGCTGTATTTAGCGTATGCACCCAATGAAAAGGACTGAAATCCCACACAAAACCAGTGATCTCACCTGTGTTAATAAAGCAAATTACCTCCATGTGGTGGTTACTCAGGTGATCTGAGGTTTAGCCTTGCTGTAGCCCAGAAGATTGCAAAACGTTACTCAGCTTCATTCTTTATAATAGTCTCTAAAGTCTTTGCCATAATTATACAGGAAAAATGTAAATAAAAGCACCCTCAGATCATAAAGTACAAATAAATGTCAGTTGACATTATCTGAATTGGTGAATTTTAGAAAAATATATTCAATTTTTGTGTACTGGCTATTGTAACACTTGTATAATTCCCCTTCGGGGTGTTTTTTTTGTTTTTTTGTTTTTTTTTTTCTGCTAGTGTAGAGCAGGACTTGAATTGCTGCTACCAAAGTATGAATAATAATTAATGGGAGGGCAAAAGTATCTACCACACAATTGGGGATTTGTAAATACATTGAGAATGAATTAATGAGTAAATGAATAAGCAACTGAATGGACAAATAATGTGAAGATTCAAGGCGTAATTACAGTTCAGTAAACATTCATTAATGAGGCCAGCTGGTGGTGTGGTGGTTAAGGCAGCTGGAACCCACATGGCCCACTGTGTGGTTCGAATCCAAGAACTGATGACTTGAAAAACCCATTGGGCATGTGTACCCAAAATCCCAAAAGAAGAGAGGGATGAGAAGGGAGTGCAGTGTGACCATTTCCCATAGGGAGTGCTCGGCCGTCTCATCTCTCTAGTAAGTGCATGTGCCCTATTGGGAAAAAAAACAAACAAAAAAACCCACTAATGTAGGTAGCCAAAGACAAATCACAGAGTACGGGAAGGTAAAGTGAACAGACACCTGGTGCTTCGACCTCACCTGCAGAATTCTACGCCAACATTCTTGAGCTTTACTATGACTGCATAGGTGTGTCCTTCTTGAAGCACCCCAAACTTCACAAATGGTGGAAGAAGGTGGAACCCGAAAGAGGTCGACTTTGCATTGATGGCAGCAGAGGCGACAGAGGATGTGTTCACTTTTCCTCCAACAGAATCTTGCACCTTTGCATTAAGGAAAAATTAATAACATGATATGGTTCTATTCTGAGTTCTCAAGGTAAGAAAAAGTCCGTGTCACCAGACAAAAATAACTGGCTAGGGGAGAAAATGAACCTTTATGATCTCATGGCATCCTTATGACAGCCCTGTATAGAAGTATTTTAGGCTTCCCCATCCTTAAAGGGAATTGAAAGATACTTGCTCAGATGGTGAGCGGCAGAGTAGCTTCTAAATCAAGTTCGCCAGTCCTAAAATCTGGTTGTCCCTCTGTACTGATGTTCACTGCCATCGGAATCTCCTGGAAGACTTCTTAAGAGGAGGTCTGGGATGGGGCCAGCCCAAGTTTCGTCTTTACACCCATCTCCCAAATGTTGCCAGTGATTCTGGTCAGATAATCGCCCCCTAACTCCCAGAGCGGCATTACTGAGATCACCGAGGAGGCCGTTACAACTGCAGAAATCAGGGCCCATGCCAGACCCGTGAGTTAGAACCTAGAGCTTAACAAGATCCCCAGGTGACCCGTGTGCACACTAATGCTTGAGAAGTGCTCCAACCACATCTTGGTTATATTTGTTACAGTGAAATCTATGACGGTGATGAACATGGAGGGAAAAACAAAAGGATAATTACCAAAACCTTCCCCTCAAGGAAGTTTTCCGGATAGAGCTGGGTGCAATCTGAGGAAACGAGGAGCTTGACGCTTATAAAGAACTAAGAGACATCCACAGTGACTGAGTTATAGCAAGTCTGGGGCAAAACGGAGGTGAAAAACCAACAGAGTCATATCTTATACCCATGCTCGATTGTTTGGATTTTATCCTAAGTGTCATGGAAGGAGGGTGGGGACAGGAAAGTAGGCAATGATCCCTGTAGCCAGTAGTGGGCTGGTAAACTAGCTTTCTAAAAAGAATTTTCATGAGTAGTGTTTACCATTTACGTGGTGTTAAGTCCAGCCAGCATGGCTGATTTCACGCTAGTGCTCATTTATCAACTCATTTATCAACTGGCTCATGAAATTCTCACCAACCTGGGTGAGCCAGCTCCAGCAAACCACTGCCTTAGTTCCTATGTGTGGCTTAAAGCCTGTGCGGTGAGGTGGCAGCCAGGAAAATGGCAGTCAGCAGTGACTGGACATCTCTAACTTCACTGAATCAGGATTACATACAAAGCTGATTGGTTCTGGACATTTGTTTCTATGTCCATCTTACCTTTGTGAGAGGTTGAGACTTGGGCTTGGAACTCTGCAGATAATGAGGTAACTTCACTTTTTCTTTCCTTGCTTGTCCCACAACATCCTGCAGCAATGACTGGGTTGGGATTTTCATGGGCACACAAGATTCTGGTTCTATTTTATAACAGAAAGTTTAAAATATGCCACATGGATATTTATTCAAAAACATTTAAAGCAACACCAGAATACAAATGAACAAACCAACTTAGAAACTTTTATCATTTGCTTTTCCCTTTTTCTTTTTTTAAAGACAGGATCTTGGGGCCAGCAGGTGGCATGGTGATTAAGGTGTTGGACTCCCACATGGCTGTGGTTCGAGTCCCATACCTGGTGACTTGATTTCTCACTCTCCCATTCTCTCTCTCTCTGGTCAAATTAAAAAATAATAATAAATAACATTGAATATATAATTCTTCTTTTTTTTTTTTTTTTTTAAAGAAGACAGGGTCTCTCCATGTTGCAGTCCTCTTGTTTCAGTCTCTTAGCTGGGACTATGAGCATACTCCAGCTTGCCTAGCTTTTTCAGACAGGGTCTTGTATGTTTCCTTGTCAGTCTCGAGCTCATGATCTTCCTCCTCAGCCTCCTGAGTTGCTGGGTTTACTGGTGCAGGCCACCACACCCAGCTTTGAGGTTAGTCTGGCAATTAAACCTAAGCCTCCCATGTGGTCCTAGCCTGTGGAGTACATTCTTAGCAGCTGAGCCAGCACAGCTGGGCCTCTTATTTCATTTTCAAAGAGCTAATTTAAAAGAAAAAAAGGTTTCCATTAATTCTCATTTTATTGGGTCATTAGAAAAATCACGACATATTTTTCTGTTTTTCTATGCAAAAATGTATCATGACTTTCTCGACAACCCAATATTTCTTTACATTTTACAAAGTGATTTTACACATATTATCTAAATTGGGGTCCCACAAAAACCCTATCAGATGGTTAGGGTAAATATTATTAAAATTACTTAAAAATTGTTTTTAGTTGTCAGAGAGTACTTGTGTTTGCCAGAGAGAGACAGAGAGGAAGAAATCACCACCTCCTCCATCCCCAGTGGGGCATGGTCACATCACAATTCCTTCTCCATTTTTCTATCCTGTCAGGATTTGGGGGCATGCACATACACCTGCTTGGCATGTTTTTTTTTTTTTTGTTTTTGTTTTTTAAATCCACTTGGGCCAGGATTCACACTGTAGTCAAGCTATGTGGGATCCAGCTCTCTTAACTCCTGGACCATGGGGCCAGCCCATCATAAAACTCAATAAGGTAAATAACAGTCCAAGACATCAAGTGTCTTGCCTATAATGAACTAAACTTCTTCAGGGTTCCCTCCAGTAAATCAGCACAGTACAACACAATAAGATATTAACCCTGAGCTACTTCTTTAAACTGAGGGATTGCAGAAATCTTAAGATTTTATTTTTTTAAATTTTACTAATATATTTATGGTTCTAAAAAGAGGTATAGTAATTATAGATCAATTAAGCTAGGGAATTAAATCTTCAGATGACTAAATCTGGTAATTCATGCTTTTCCTCAAGTTATATGAAATCGCGAGGAAAAGTGGATCCACATGGCGGCAGCTGTGTGCTTTGCTCCAAATATCCAGGAAATTGAAATAAGAATTGTGTTTTAGACCATCATACTGAAAAACCCTTTCTTATGTTCAAATCAGAGAGGAAAAGGAAGGGAACCAATGTTTGAGGGTCCACTATCATACCACTTACTCCCACCACAGGCTGGTGCTACGCTTCCCTGGTCCTAACCATCAGAAGCAACACCAAGCCAAGGAGGACCCTCCCTGGATATTTCTGCTGAAGTGGACAGGGATAACCCTAGCATGGCCTTTTGGGGTGTGAATTTGGAAGAATCAGAATCATGGGTCTCAAAGGTCATGATTTCTGTTACATGGAAATAGCCTGTCTTTTGGACGAGGGAAGAAAAATGAACTAGAGATTAGTAGGGATGGGACAAGATCGAGGCAGGGAGAATAGAGAGAGAAACAGGCAATAAGACCCCAACACACTCTCCAACAGCCAGAATCTGTGAATCCCCATATCCTAGGGCTAGCACCATATCCACTTTTCTGAGATTTGTTTTTTTTTTTTTTTTTTTAATAACAACATTTTTTTTTTTTAAGTACTAATAAGTACCCACCACCTCTTTTTTTTTTTAAAATGAGTTTGAGTTTTCTCAGTTATAAATTGAAAAGTCCTAACTAATATACTGGTACTATCTTTTTAAAATTTTTTAATTTTTTTACATATGAGAAACTGATCTTCTAAGGTTTTAATAACTTGTCCAAAAAGCTATAATGGGTGGCTGAGCTGGGATACAGATTTAATTGTGTCAGATCCCACAAGGAACATGCTCCTTTTACTACATAATATGTCCCAAACCCATTTGGGCATCAAAATATTCTGAGCTGCTCTTGAAAAAGGAGAGATTTCCCAGCCACATGCCAGCTAAGCCCTATTCCTGAGTAAAACACAATCAGAATCTGGGGGTGGATGGGCATCAGGGACCAGTATCCTACTGTATATATTCATCTCTTTGGTCACCATTTCCTACAGAAGCAACATCTTTTTTTTTTTTTTTTTGAGAGGTTTTTGCTATTGGGCGTGTGGGCTCACCAGGGAGCCAGGGGGAGAGACAGAAAGCGAGAAATCACCCCCAGAGGGGATGGCCACGCCGCAATCCCTTCTCCTCCATTCTCCTCTCGGGATCTTGGGCACGCATGCACACACGCCTACCATGAATTTAAGCCACCAGGTCCGGGACGTGAACCATGGTCGACTACATGGGAATCCAGCGACATGGCCATTACACTAACTACTGGTCCCACAGAGGCAACATCTTAATGACTTGATTTATCTTTTTGTTCATATCTCACCATATGTGTATTACTGTTTTGTGTGAATGCTTTCTATTTGTCTAAGGGTACTATATAATTGTAACTATTATTATTAATAGTAAATACTGAATTGGAGTTTATCACGTGCCAGGCCCTACTTAAAGAATTTTGCAACTAAAGAAATTAGCTAATAGAATCCTCACAACCCTGTGATATATACCATTATTTCCCCTTTACAGAAAAAGAAACTAAATGAGATAGAGGGGAAACTGGACAGTTGTACATAGCAGTCAATCATGAAGCTCTTGGACGCCGAGTGAATAAACCTTATAGGAGAGAAGTTTAAAGTTAGGAAAGCAAATATCTAGGGTACGGTAAATCTCTTACTTCCCCCATAAATGTGACCAGATACTTGTTTTATGAGATAACTGAAGTCATCAGCAGATTTCTATTTCATATTCAGTATGGGACATGCCCACAGAAGCCCAATGGTGGCAAAATTATCTACACAATTTAAATTTTTCTGTCTCTTGGGCCTTTCATTTTACGTTTTTAACCTACCATATATAGTTAAATTAATTTTAGTAAAATCAATCTAAAGTCACTTCATTATAACTAGCTATTATTCTGTATTTCAGTTTCTGCTAGCCCAATAAGATTATGTGTGGTCTAAGACAGAGACCACATATTAAGTTTCTCTTCTGGAACCTGCAGGACCAAGAATGTTCTGAAATAATAGGTAAGTCTATCTCCAACTACTAAATTACTGGCTGGTCAAGAAAAGCTGTCAGGTGCCTGATCACCGAAGGATCACACAAACTGTCAGAATCATGAGTGATAAAATGAAATGAAATAATAAAATAACTAATCTAAAAAGATTATTTGTCATTTACTTCCTTTAGTCTGGGACTTTTGCATTGAGATACTGTTTTTTTTTTTTTTTTTTTTTTTTGGGGGGTTTTTTCTTTTAGGGGGTGGGTGCCGCCGAGATAGAAAGCGAGAAATCACCCCCCAGGGGGGATGGCCACGCCGCAATCCCTTCTCCTCCGCTCTCCTTTTGGGATCTTGGGCATTCACACACATGCGCCCAATGTGAGTTTAAGCCACCCGGTCCAGGACTTGAACCACAGTCGACTACGTGGGAGTCCAGCAACATAGCCGTTACGCTAACTGCTGGTCCCAGTATTGAGATACTTTTTGATAGCGTAAGAAGCCTGACAAGCTTTATAGGTCTAAGATCTATGATGTTCTAGACTTTTTCCTGTAACTGCCAACCATACTTCAAGCCCCTACTGCCATCTCACCTACTTCAAAAGAACCATAATCCATTTTGAGAAATAATGAGATAAATTACTTACATACCTTTAATAGATTCTGTTAAGTCTTCAGTCTGGTTCTGGCAATTGGACTCTTTGATATCTGCAGAAATCTCTGATTTTGGAAGACTAAGCATATTTGAAAATTTCTGTTCTGAAACCTTATGTGAATCGGAATCTAGAAAACCCCAAACAGTCATTATAAAGTGATATTTTGACCATTATCCAATGGCTTCTACGTTTTTATGAACATTGAACAAGGTATTTTATAATGAACAAGGTGCTTTTTTCTCCATCCTCTTTAGAAAGACCAGGTGTAAGAAAAGCCATTAAGAGCTGGTACTCTTCATAATATGATCCAATATTTGCCCTTAACAGACAGGACAGTACCTGAAATGTTCACACCCCTCAGGAGTTAGGTGGTAATTTGTGTGTATTATGAACAAATAGTAGAGTTGTCATCCTCTTATGTTGTGAAGTAGAGGTCAAGTAATTTGTCTCTACTTTTACCTGGTAAGTGTAACTGAGATGTGATGTAAAAAAATTAAGAAGTGTCCAATCTTAAGTGCATTCATTATGATAAAATGTACTTATTTATTAAAGTATTTCTCTCTAAGAAGTAGGCACAATATGAAACTACTTTTAAAGTATCAAAAATAATCGCCCTATCTCTCTTTGTATTAGTGTCATTGACTTTTATTTTATTTTATTTTATTTTTGACATTGACTTTTTTGAAGAGACCAGGTTGGTTGTCTTCTCAGATATCTACCTAGGATTAGGAAGGAAAATAATTTCAAACTGTGTGTGTCCCAAACCTGGTTGAATGCTAGTGGCTTCCTGGAGTACTGTGCTGAAGACTTTCTCAATCTTACTCCTTTCCTTTTCAAGGGGAGAGGAGGCAGGGATTGATTAGTATTGTCTGCCTAGGATGCAGCAGGTCTGAGTGACTGCACAAGGTTCCTCAAATTGCCATCCCTGATTTCTCCTCACAGTTACAAGTCATTGTTCCAACCTTAAGCTTTGGTTTGTAAACTCTGTTTCAATTAGATGATTTCTTTGACTATACTGAGTACAGGCAGGCAAACTTCTGGTATTGTACAGTAGAAAATTCCTATATCTGGGTATTTTGACTACTGTTTATTAAAGAAAAGCACTGAAGTTCATTAAAAATTCTTCAGCACGTACCTCCAAGAATGAAGATATTCCACTACATATCTAAAACATCATCATCCACCCAAGAAATCAACAATGATTCCTCTAATATATAGTTTTCTAACCAATTTTTTTTTCAGTTTTCCCAAAATACTTTTCTATGTGTTTTTCTCCACTCAGGATCCAATCATAGTTTATGTATTGCATTTAGTTTTTACGTCTCTTTAGTCTCCTTTAATAGAGCACACTCGCCCTATCTTTTTTTATTTTACTGATGTTGACTATTTTGAAGAGACCAGACCAGCTGTCTCATAGCATGTTTACATTCTGGTAGACATTTGTCTGATTGTTTCCTCTTGATTAGATTCTGGTTCAGGGTTTTGAGCAAGACTTTCAAATAGGTACTATGCACTTTATGGGAGAGTACATGGGAGAGTTCCTAATATGCACTTGTCAGAGTATTGGTAGAAGTTTGAGTACTTAGTTAAGGTGAAATGCTACATGTTTCCATTGTAAAGGTATAGTTTCCTCTTTATATTTAGTAAGAAATATGTGGGTTGCACTGCGAGCTCCTCACCCAGGTCCCTGCCCTGTCCGTCGTGCTTGCTTGCCCACCCGCCCGTGCCCACAATGGCCGACGTGGTGGACAGCAAAGGCTTTGATGAATACATGAAGGAACTATGTAAGGGAATAGCTCTGTGAAAAATGGGTGCTATGGCCAAACCAGATTGTATCACCACTTGTGAGGGGAAGAACCTCACCGTCAAAACTTGAAAAACTACAGTGTTCTTGTACCCTGGGAGAAAAGTTTAAAGAAACAACAGCTGATGGCAGAAAAACTCAGACTGTCTGTGACTTCAAGAATGGGATGGGAAAGAAAGCACAATAACAAGAAAACTGCAAGATGGAAAATTAATGGTGGACTGTATCATGAATAGTGTCACCTGTCCTCGGGTCTATGAGAAAGGAGAATAAAAATTCCATCATCACTTTAGACAGGAATTAGCCGCAAGAATGAACAAGCTCAGTTCCATGAGCAAATCTCCATATTACTATGTGTTTTTTTTCATTACTGTGTTCAATTACCTTTACCATAAACATTTTACATGCAACTGTTGCATTTACATGTGATCCAAGTGTTGATTTAATTAGGATCATTCCTTTGGTTAGTAAATAAATGTGTTTGTGCTAATAATAATAAAAAAAAAGAAATACGTGGGCTGATATTTTGGGAACACGTGAACACTCTATTCTCCAATAAACTGTCATTACTCACTTGATTTTTACATTGGCTAGGACTCCTAAATGCTTTTAGATAATTTTTCAACATACAGGATCAAAAGTAAAATTTATATACATCTTGGTTTTCTCATATGACTCAACCAAATCTGTAATATGTAGGTAACAGTAGGTTATTTCATTAGCTAAGGCAGAAAGTGGTATGAACTAGTTATGTTCTAAGAAGCCACTGTTAGGTATTATTCAGTTAGGTGTTTTTAACAGAAATAAGAGCCACACTAACATATTACCTGAATGAAGATCAGATGTATCTTGAACAACTGTTTCTCTTTCATCTTTCTTTGTAAAAGGAGGCAATTTTTTGGAAAGGCTGTTCAGATAATTATACTTAAAGGAAAAATCAAAAGACTTATTTTAGGATTGCACATAGCTGAAAGGCAACTGCCACAAATATGTTAGGTTGATGAGCAATGAAGAAAGCATATGTTCTAAGACATCGAAAATGAAGTTTACAAACTAAATGTTCCTTTTTTTTTTAAAGAGAGATTTTTGCTATAGGGTACGTGTGCTCACCAGAGAGACAAACAGAGACAGAGAGACAGAAAGTTAGAAATCACCCCCCAGGGGGGATGGCCAGGCCACAATACCTTCTCCTCCATTCTCCTCTTGGGATTTTGGGCATGCATGCACATGTGCCTGGTGTGAGTTTTAAGTCACCAGGTCCCTGACTTGAATTGCGGTCAACTACTTGGGAATCCAGTGACATAACCATTATGCCATCTGCTAGTTTCTAAAAGTTCTTCAAAAGACTGATGAACTCAATCCTAGCTTTTGTTAATTAGTCATAATTTTCCTATAATTTCTTCTCAGGCAGCCTTTGCTAGATAACAGCATCAGAAATTTTCATAGAAATGTAGGGGATTCTAAAAAATGTGAAAATATTAATTTTGCTTCAAGGTTTCAATGAATTCCTAGCCAGTGTGAGAGAGGAAGGTTAGGTTTGTGGTCCTGGGTGCAGATTCACACAGAAAAGGAGAGGAAAAGTCTACTTTCATGGGCTTCCGAGAGCTCACAGCATCTCACTACTATCTCAGCAGCTGATGGGAGAGGACAATTTAATGGAATAGAAACTTAAAGATGAGGGGCCAGATAGCGGCACAGCAGCAGCACAGCTCCCTGTACAGATGATCCCCGGTGGGAAGTTTCCAGGGTCAGGTCCAGAGACCTCCCTGAACATGCAGAGTGTATGCCTGCCTGTGACCCAGGGCTAACTGAGGCCAGGGGTAGATTGTGTCATAAAGACTACTGTAGGGGCACTTTTTCTCTCTCTCCCTCTGTCACACATATCTGAGATAAATAAACTTAAAAAACAAGCAAACAAAAACACTGCAAAATGGGTTTATTGGAGAAAACTCACCCATAGGGAGGATTCAGTTCCCAAAAGGTCTTAAAATAGATGGCATAGGGAAATTAATAGTGATAATGCAAGGCAGGGAGGAGGACCAATAGTCATACATTGGAAAAGAAGTTCCGCTTTGGTGCAGGATTTGAAATGAGTCTACAGTACCATATGCTCATAAGCATATGGATTTGAGGGGTACAGGTTAGTTAGGACTATGCAGGAAAGAATTAAACTTTAGGAAAGACAGATGATATAATAACACACACTATGTCAACTTTTCTAAAGATTCTTCTTCAATTGCCGCTCATTTTATTCAATTACCTGAAACTGGTATAACTCGTTCAAATCAGATTTGAAGTAGGGTGATATGCTTTGGTTCCTAATTTCCATCAGATACTGTTTGGTTTTCTCAATTTCCTTCCTGTTTAATATTTTCATCATGGTGAAAAAAAAGACATAATACATTTAAACAGGGTATTTGCTTGTGCTTTAGCTTTAAACCCCACAGAAGAAAACATCAAGGCAATCACCATCAGTAAAACTGATAAAAATAAACACATTGAGTATTTTTTTGTTAAGTCGTTTTGGTTCATTTTCTAATTCTTTGAGAATAAATCACATTTCTGCTTTAGAAATCAGGGTCTTCTGAAAGATAGGAAATAATGGCATCGGGTGTTAATTTGATCTTACAATTAATCTCAAAGACTAACAACCACATAGCATTGTAATAGTTGAATTTTTGGGACATTTTCTAGTTCCCTGAGGTTTAAATAATAGCTAGGATCTACTAGTTTACTTAACTTCAATAGCAGTGGCAACAACATGTGGTCAGAGATACACAGTGAAATAAAAGAAATCATGATAATTCAGCTAGTCGCTTTTCCAGTGACAAGACCCCTATATTAGGGAGGCAACATTTTGGGAAGGCCAATGAGATCTATACTGAAGTCACTGGGTAAAACTCCAGGAAAAAAATTTTTTTTTTTTTAGTTAGTTTGCTTGCTTATTTATTTATTTATTTATTTCTGCCTGGAGAGAGACAGAGAAAAAGTGAGAAAACACCCTGGGGCGGAGGGATGGCCACACCACACCCTTCTCTGTTCTCCTCTAGGGATTTTGGGTACGGATGCACAGCTTGATTTTTCAAGCATCGGGATACAGGATTCAAACTGTGGTTGACTCCATGGGAGTCCAGTGCCTTAACCATCACACCATCTGCTGCTCCCCAGGAAAGCTTTTAAAGAGGACTGACTTAGCAAGAAGACTTTCCCTTTGTCCTGGCCTCATTTCTTCTACTACTTGCACAAATGTGGATGTAAAGGCTAGGTGTGCAGCAGTCATTTTCCAACTATGTAGTAATCTTGAGGATGAAAATCATGTGCTAAAAATGATGGTGCAGGCAAAAACAAAGAATCTGAGTTCCTAATGATTTTGTGATGCTGCATATCAGAGGTGGTAATTCCTGTCTTCCTGTCTCTGACTTTTTTTCTTTTACATTAGAAAAAATAAATCATTTTCTAATAAAAGTACTGATTTGGGGGTCTTCTGTTGAATGTAGCTGAACTTAATTCTACCTGAAATAGTTTTCATTTTTAAGTGTTTATTTCATGCCAATAACTTTGACATGCATTTTGCATTTAATTTTATAACAGCCTTATAAATTAGTATTGTTATCATCATTTTATGAAACAAAAAAATCATGGTATAGGGAGATTAAGGAACCTACTCCAAATAACATAAGTAATAAGGGCTAGAGTCTGAATTAAAACCCAAGTTGCTTACCTCTAGGCCCATGATCTGCTCACGCTAATCAGCTGTTTAGCTGAAAGTGACCTTCCAATCATCTCGATATAAGTTAGCAAACCGAATTACTGAGTACCTTTTACTGAAGTAAAATAATCAACCAGCATTGTACAGTCTATTGGTAATCAGATTTTAACTGACTCTAGATCTGCTGTCTCTAAGACTAATACTCCTCTATTGGGTGGCCTGTCTGGGACAGGTATGATCAAAATATCATCTTTTTTTTTTCCCTTTAAATTTGATAGAGAGCATGTGTGTTTGCTAGAGAGAGGAAGGCAAGAAAGCACTCCTAGAAGTGTGGGGTTGGGGTGAAGGATCACCATGCCAGGATTCCTTCTACTCCATTCTCCTTTTGGGATTTTGGACATATATGTACACACATGGCATGATTTTCAAGTCACTGGGTCCAGGACTTGAACCATGCAGTTGGCCATTTGAGATAGAGCTGCCTTAATGACCATGCCATCTGGCTGGCCTGTTTAAACAATGTCAATTTCCCATTAAAAATATCTTCATTCTCCTGTATCATTGGATTCATTCACTAGTCTATGGCAGACTGGTTATTGTACACACTATCTTAAAATTATTCTCACAAAATCAAGCAATAGGAGCCAGCTGGTGGTGTGGTAGTTAAAGCAGCTAGTTCCCACATAGTTGACTGCATGGTTCCAGTTCTAGACCTGGTAGCTTGGAAGACGTGCCATATACATATGCGTGTGTATTAAACTTCCAAGATGAGAGTGGAGGAGCAGGGACTGCAGTGTGGCCATTTGCCCAGGCAGTGGGGGGGGGGGGCGGTGATTTCTCACTTTCTCTCTTTCTCTATGTCTCTCTGGCAAGCATAATAATGCTATAACAACAAAAAAAATTAAGAACCAATCAATAAATCTTCCAACTGATTAGCCCCCATTTTTTTAAATTCATGTTTATGATTCTTCTACAGCATCTGACATTTGTCGGCCACCTTTTAGGTCCTTGCAAGTTTCTCCTTCCTTTACCCAATCTATTCTCTATGTTGCCAACACTTCTCTTTCTCTGACCTACATCTACCTGTGCTTCACTTTTCTTCTTTGAACATTTTTACTGGCTTGCTATTAACTATTCATACATGTAGGCTAAAATTTAAAATTTTTAATGTTTTAAAAAGTTTTAAATTTGAATAGATAGTATCTGTATTCAATTCAAAAGATATTACTAAAGAGCACCTATTAAAAATGCAATCTCCCTCTCACATTGCCTCTTCCTCACAGGCAATGAGTTCACCAGTCCTCTGGCTATGCCTTCAGGAGTACTCTATGAGGCTGATAGGGTTCAGGACATGCCACCTCAAATATGAGACTCTGGCATACTGAGCACTTTAAGTTAAAGGAATTTGAGAAAATGTCAGAAGCAGGTAGGTTACTCTGACCTTTCCTCTGCCCATCTTCCCTGGAATCAAGTCATTAAACCTAGGGAGTATTTTCTGACCTTGCTTTGAAACAGGCCATGACTCTCATGTGAGAAATGCCCTTTCTATACTTGAAGGAAAGTTACACCCTTCATCCTTTTCTCCACTGACTCAAGGAGACAGAGAAGAATCTGAACAAACAGACCTCGCTAAATTCCTCCCAGTTTTATCATTAGATCATGCTCCTTGTCCTGTTCTATTTCTCCACGACTTTGCAGTCATCAAACATTGCATAATAATACTTAAGATTAACCATTTTTTGGGGGAAGAGTCTTCATAAGGATATGAAATATATGGATAAATTTAAAACTTACATAAATCTATATGCTTTTATTTTTCTATCTTTTGTTTTGGAGGCCTTAGTCATGAATCTAAGATAAGTAGAGGAAAACTTTTCATCCCCTACAGACAGCGTAGATCTTTATTTGACCTTATATATGGCAGTGAATCATAACACTTGAAGACTTATCTTAACCAATCATCTAATACATCTAAGAAGATAACCCTGGCATTTGTATAAAGAATCGTATTCAGCCTGGGAGTCATTCTGAAGAGGAGCCATGAAAATGTGAATAGTAGCATAATATGTACCACCAAATACTCAGCAAATATATCTGGCTTCCTTTTTTTTTTTTAAAGAATTATTTAATTTAATTTTATTTATTGTTATTATTTTTCAATTGACCAGAAACACACACACAGACACACACACACACACACACACACACACACACACACACACGGAGAGAGAGAGAGAGAGAGAGAGCGCCTTCAGGTCCAGGACTTAAATCACAGTCAGCTATGTGGGAGTCCAGAGCCTCAATCACCATGCCTGCTGACAGCCTCCTGGCTTCCTTTCTTTATAGCAAGAGAGCTGCAGTTGGAATCTTCAGCTAGGGCTCAAAGGAAACTAAGGCACATAATACATAGAGCACATTTCTCATGTGAATTGAAAGAATCCTTGAATATTTATGACTACGTTCTATTAGTATATTAAGTTCTAGAGCACTTATTAGAATATTATTGTAGAACTACCAAAAGCATAGAGAATTTCTTGGGAGATTTTTTTTTCCTTTGGAAAGAAAAAGGATCTGTCTAATGGTCAAATGGGCTTTTTTAAGAAATGGGGGCATCTGGGACTAGCAGTTGGCATAATGGCTACGTCGCTGGACTTCCATACATCAACTGCAGTTGGAGTCCCAGACCCAGTGACTTAAATACGCTGGGTGCGTGTGCGTGCGTGCCCAAGATCCCGAGAGGAGAATGGAGGAGAAGGGATTGCGGCATGGCCATCTCCCCTGGGGGGTGATTTCTCACTTTCTGTCTCTCTGTCTCTCACTGTCTTTCTGGCGAGTACACGCACCCTATAGCAAAAACCTCTAAAAAAAAAAAAGAAAAAAAAAGAAAGAAAGAAAAGAAAAAAGAAAGAGAGACAAATGGGGGCATCCAGACACAGAAACTAAAGGACCCTTACAGAAATGATGTAGAAGAGAGTCAAGTAACATCTGGAGCCTGGGTGGTAGGATCTTTCAGCTATCCCACTCCAAAGTCCAATGACCCTGGGCCTTTTCACATTTTCACATGCTTATCTATACCTCAGGGTAGAATTACCACTTATTTATTTATTTATTTATTTATTTATTTTGAGATTTGTTTTCTCTAGAACATGTGTGCTCACTGGAGAGACAGAGAGAGACACAGAGGCAGAGAGAAATCACCCAAGGGAGTGGCCATGCCACAATCCTTTCTCCTCCATTCTCCTTTCAGGGTTTTGGGCATGCATGCACACATGCCCAGGGTGAGTTTCAAGCCACCAGGTCTGAAACTCAAACTGCAGTTGGCCATGTGGGAGTCCAGCACCTTAACCACTATGCTGCCTTTTGGCATAGCCTTACCTCGTTTTTTCTATCTTTTCTTTCCAGCTCTTTGCTTCTGCTGTGTCCCTATGTGGAAGAAAAGGAAAGCATGATGAAATGAAGCAATACTCTCAGCTTGCGAACAATAAAAGAAAAGCCACCACCAGATGATGAATTGTTACCCATGTGACAGATGAAGGTTGTGGATTCATCACTAATCACCCATATTATGTCACTCTCATCTCTTCCCATCCTCACTGTATGGCTAATAGCTAATTAGATATGTTAGGGGGTTAGCTTACCTCCATTTATTTTCAAAGAACTCTTTACTAAATGTGTCTGTTGGACAGTTTGGAGAAGCAGTCAAAGATTGCTTGAATACGTCGGCTAGGTGGGCTGCAACTTCAAAAATAGATGCATTTAAATTTTATCCCCACTTCTTTCCAGAACAACACACAATCAATACCCATACTCATTTGAGATGTTTTTAAAGAACCTATATGTAATCTGCCAGGTGTTTGCTCAAATTTTCATGACCAAGCTGTAATACAACAGTAAACCAGACTACTTTTATGCAACATTTCACTAAAGAACACACATCTTATAGTTAAAATGTAAAATGCAGTAACACGTATGTATTCCATGTCATTAAGGGAAGCTGTGTTTCACCTAACTGCATTCCTCATATCTAAAGCAACGGTTCATAAAACGAATTGACTACTACCAAACTGGGATTATTTTTCTAAACATTTACCTGTTCCCTGAATCAAAGGAATAAATGTGATAAAGTAATTGTTTGGTAATTTGGGCAGTGGTTCTAAGAGTGTATTCACAGAACATGGTCTCAGTCGGATGTTAAAAGGAAATTTAACAGAAGTATTCATGGACCAGCAGCTGGCCTGGAGGTTAAAGTGCTGGATCCCACATGGTCATGTTTGTTGTTTGAGTCAGATTCAGTGACCTGAAAATCATGCTGAATGTCCAAAATCCTGAGAGGAGAATGGGGGAGAAATGACTGGGGTATGGCCATCCTCCCTGGGAGGTGATTTCTCACTTTCTCTGGCAAATGCACACATTCTTCAACAAAAACTAAAAGATAAAAAAAAAATGTTTTCATATTTCTTGGTCATACGAGCTTGAGCAACATTGGTTTCTATAAGGTTAAGTATACTTCATTACAGTAGGACTTTCCTGCAACCATTGGTTAACATAGGTTGTGACTATGAAAATAAGATGATACATAGCATTATCCAAACTTGTTTTATTGTAAAACTCGTTTTGGGGGTAGCCATCTCATAGCTTACTGTTTCTTTTATTTTCTTCTTCTTATTTTCTCAAGGATGAGATGTTTTATTTATTATTATTCTTTAATTTGACCAGAGAGAAAGGGAAAGTGAGAAAGCAAGTTGTGCGATCTGGGACTTGAACTGTGGTCAGCAATGTGGGAGTCCAGTGCCTTAATCACCACACCATCTGCTGGCCCCAGTAGCCTAGTGTATATGTGGTTTTTTTTTTTTTTTTTTTTTTTATGGGGTTTTTCTTTTTTTTTTTTTTTTAGAGGTTTTTGCTATAGGGTGCATGCACTTGCCAGACAGAGACAGAGACATAAAGCAAGAAATCACCCCCCATAGGGGGGATGACCATGCTGCAATCCCTTCTCCTCCATTCTCCTCACGGGATCTTGGGCATGAATGCACACACGCCCGGTGTGAGTTTAAGCCACCGGGTCTGGGACTCAAACTGCCGTCGACTACATGGAAGTCCAGTGACATAGCCATTATGCCAACTGCTAGTCCATAGCCTAGTGTTTTAAGAAACACTTTGAGGGACTGTTGACTCGGAATCATCATTATTAATATGTTAGGAACAGCTATAAGTATGCAAAAGGCAGTTTGCTTTCTGGATCTGCTTCTTCAAAAAATATGTTTGTTTTGCCCCTCACTACTGGGTATCCTGTGTGCTTACCTTTTTCATGCCTATTCCCTTGTGCCAGCAGCTGCACATTTAAAAGCTACAGAATAGGCTTCCAGAGAAAGTATAGGGCACCTACTTGACTTTGAATTGCTGATAAACAAATAATGTTTAGAATAACTATGTCCTATGCTATATTGGTGACACATTTTTTATAAACAATTTTGTCAGAGGGCTTGTGAGCTCACCAGAGAGAGAGATGGAGGGAAGGAGAGGCAAAAAGAAACCCCTCCATGGGGAATGGTCATGCCATAATCCCTTCCCCTCCATTTGGTCCTCTTTTTGGAATGTTGGACACACGTACACACCCAATGTGTTTCTCAAGCTGCCAGGTTTGGGACTTGAACAGCAGGACCAGACATGTCAGACATGTAAGGATCTGGCTGCCTTAACTACCAGGTCATGGGGCCCTCAGCCCAGGGGACATATTAAATAGAAAAAAAAAAAAAGAAAAAAAAATTTGTTGTTTATCTAAAATTCAAATCTAACTAGGCCTTTTGTATTTTTAGTCACTGAATTTTGTAACTCTACTGCAAGGATCTCATAGGTAAAAGGGTGACAACAGAGAGACACTGTGGGCTGTGAACTATACTGTTTTTTTTGGAGAGGTTTTTGCTATAGGGTGCATGCACTCACCAGACAGACAGAGAGAGACAGAGAGACAGAAAGTGAGAAATCACCCCCCAGGGGGGATGGTCACGCCGCAATCCCTTCTCCTCCATTCTCCTCTTGGGATCTTGGGCACGCACGCACACACGCCCGACGTGAGTTTAAGCCACCGGGTCCAGGATGCGAACCGCAGTCGACTACATGGGAGTCCAGTGACATAGACATTATGCTAACTGCTGGTCCCTGTTGAACTATACTCTGATGGTCATTTTAAAGAGGCATTCTAATCTCCTCAGACAATGTTTGCTGTGTGGTAATATGACATTTCAAGAGGAGAAAAATCTAGATAAACAACAAAAATAATTATACAAGACAATACTGTGGAGGATATATAAAATATACCTGTGGCCAGGATAAAACCAATGAATGTCAGTGTATGACCATTGCCATATGGCCAAACGATAAAAATAAAAATAAATACAACAAGACAAAACCCCATCAAATTCTCCATGGACTTGTTTACTGAGAATTATGAAACTATAATCAAGTTTGTTAAAGCTGTGTGTATCCTCCCAAAATATGCTTCAAATGAAAAGATTGCTAATACTAAATTGCTTGTGCTATATGGAAACTGAAACAGTGCCAGATTTTGGTGATAACTGTGCAGCTGCTCAAAAGTTCTGTGTATGGGGGAAGCTGTTAATTGGTTGACTGTTTCCTTCTTATATCTTAGCTATATACTAAATAATTGGGGTTAACATAAGTCAAATGTCAACAGTTTCATTCAACAGATGAAAGTTAAAGATAAATGAGAGGCAGGATCAGTAGATGGTGTAATGGTTACATTGTAGGATGCCCATGTAGTTGACCATGGTTCAAGTCCTGAACCTGGTGGCTTAAACATCATGCCAGGCACATGTTGCATGCATTCCCAAAATTCTGAGAGGATAATGGAGGAAATGGGATTGTGGCATGGCCATCCTCCCTGGGAGTGATTTCTCAGTTTCTCTTTCTTTCTCTTTCCAGTGAGCACATGTGTCCTATAATGAAAATATCTCTTAAAAAATAGATAAATGAGAAGCAATCACACTTTTCATTGATCTCATAGTTTAGGCAGACTAAAACATATAAACCATTTTAATATATAACACTGCCAACACAGGAACATATGTAAGTACATAGCACATTTTATCACAAAGGAGAATGGCTGATGAATGTATTTAAGATCATTCCTTTAAAATTTGTAAATCTATTGCAAAAAATATTAAATGCCAGTTACCTTCATTAACATGACTTTATGTAGTTAAAAAAAACTCCATTTTAGGGGAAGACTGAAATAAAAATAGAATTACTTAAAGATAATGATTATATTGCATACAAAAATCAACTTTGTTAGAGCATTCTTTATTTGCTCAAATTAATATTTTATGCAAGTTACCATGAAATGAATTAAATTTTTAATATCAATGAAAATTTGTTTGATTTTTTTCAATTGTTCCATTAACATAACAAATATATAAAACTAGAAATAATTTTAAGGTATAGAAATTCCTTTTTCTTCCTTCTTCCTATTTTATTCATTAATTAATTCAACATTTTAGTGAATATCAATTTCATGAAAACAATAAAAACTGTTATTTTAGGGCCTCCAGAATTGTTTATGACCAAAGAAAGAGCCTAAAAGGTATTTGGAAAAGTCAGTATATAAAGAATTAGATTTGGGGCTGGGCCCATGGTCTAGTGGTTAGGGGAATAAACCAATCCTGCATGGCTGACCACACAGTTTGAATCCTGACAAGATGGAAAAACAGAGAAGGAATTGTGGTGTGACCAAGCCCCTCTAGGGGTTGCTTTCTCCTTTTCCCTCTCCTCCCTCTCTCTGTCCGTTGATTTCTATTAAACCAATGTGTACCCTCTGGCAAATTAAAAAAAAAAAAAAGAAAAAGAAAAGAAAAGACAGAAAAGAAATCAGATTTATATAGAAAAAAAGAAATTTTAAGGAAAAAGTAAAAGCTGCATAGAATTGCAGAATGGCTATTCCTTATGGTATTTTTGTCTTGAAGCACTTAATTGAAACAAGAATAAAAAACACTAGTACATGAAACCTTTTCTCACCATAACCAGCTTGAGGAGGTCTGCAGCATTACCCCTCTCCTCCTCAGTTCTGGAATCTTTAACTGTCATTTCCTGCAGCTCGTCTTCTTTCTTTAGAATATGATTTATATAATCCTATATCAGCAGAATAAAATCAGTCAATAAAAACCAGGAATAAGGTAGAGAGATACCTTAAAATAGTCAAATGTCAGCTTGAAATATTACGAAAAGATTAAGAATATGTAAGTTCACAATGTTTAACACCAGTTACTAGTCAAGCAATCTGGGAAGTATTTTCCTTGACATGTGAATAAACAGAAACCTGCAAAGTCCAAAAGCAAAGCTATCTATCTATCTATCTATCTATCTATCTATCTATCTATCTATCTATCTATCTATTTATTTATTTATTGAAGAGGTTTTTGCTATAGGGCGCATGCGCTCGCCAGAAAGACAGAGAGAGACAGAGACAGAAAGCGAGAAATCATCCCCGGGGGGATGGCCACGCTGCAATCCCTTCTCCTCCATTCTCCTCTTGGGATCTTGGGCATGCACGCACACGTGCCTGGCGTTTGTTTTAAGTCACCCAGTCCAGGACGCGAACCACGGTCGACTACATGGGAGTCCAGCGACATAGCCATTATGCTAACTGCTGGTCCCCAAAAGCAAAGCTTTAGGGAACACAGGATAGAACTGTATGCAGACCTCAGTGAGGCCTTATTTCTAACTCTGCATTCAGTGTCCTCATCATTAACATGGCTAAAAGTTGGGGTAGATGATTTCCAGGGGCCTTTCATGTATTAGCCTTTATAATTCTATCTGTAAATAAACATCACTTAGTCCATGCCTTTGCTTCCAAGAGAAGCATTCATTTTTTTTTTCTGTAAATATCTGATTTATTTCTATAGATAATGATCCTTTGCTCCATGACAGGAATGTCAACAGTGTTTTTCATGAATGAACAAATATTAGGTTAATAATGTGTTTCTGTATTTTTCCGGGGGGTCATTAGACCAGTTTTCCATAGAGTGAGAAAGGAGGACTCTACCTAGAAATCATATAACAGACAATTCTCAAAGGAGAACATATCAATGGATAAGAAGCATCTCTTATCTTAAGGGAAATGCAGATAAAAACTGTAGTGAGATATCACCTAAATAGTCCTATCAAAATGGCTAGGATCACAAAAAGCAAAGAATAACAGGCATCGGAGAGGATGCATAGAAAAGGGAATCCTTGTATACTGCTGATGGGAATGTAAATTAGTACAGCCACTGGGGACAACAGGATGGAGATTCCTTGAAAATCTGAAAATAGAACTACTATATAACCCCATGATCTCATACTTAGATATCTAGAAAACCACTCTGTCAGAGAGACGTTTACGCATCCATGTTTATCTCATCATTATTCATAATAGCTAAGACATGGAATCAACCTAAGTGCCCCCAAACTGATAAATGAATTAAAAAATGTGGCACATATAAGCATTGAAATACTAAATCATTAAGAGCAATGAAATGAAAATCGTGTCAAATTTTCGTTTGACACAAAGTGGATAAACCTAGAGGACATAATGCAAAATGAAGTAAGCCAGGCTATGAAAGACAAATACTGTCTGTTCCCACTTAACATGTACGAATGTCTGCCTTCTATGGTGGAAACCAAGGACTTGATGGCATAGAAATAGAAAGAGTAAGTGTAGCTACCAAAAACTGCATGAGAGTGGGGAGGGGAGAGGTAGAGTAGAGGTGGAGAGGTCATGAGAAAATGACTAACACAACAAAGTATGTAAACAAGTGAAGTAACTTATGGAATTGTTACCATAATCAAGTAAGAAATAACATGGATAATTATATACTTACTTTCCAAAAAGAAACCCCCCAAAACTAGTAGAACTATTTCTGAAGGCATGCAACAAAACACAATGTTCAACACTGAAGATGACTATGTCTATATAGTACGCATTGTATGTATACTTTGAAAAATCATACTGTACCCTACTAAGATGTACAATGATTATATGTACACCAGAAGATAGTTTTAAAAGTCAAATAAAAAAAATGTCTTACCATCTCAGTGTCTTTGGGGCTTCTTAGTAATTCCTACACCTTTTGGGAAAAAGTAAGTATTTTCTTTTTTTTTGTTTGTTTCTGGAGAAGTTTTTGCTATAGGGCATGTGTGCTTGCCAGAAAGACAGAGAGAGACAGAGAGACAGAAAGCAAGAAATCACGGTGCAATCCCTTCTCCATTCTCCTCTTGGGATCTTGGGCACGCGAGCACACGCACCTGGTGTGAATTTAAGCCACTGGGTCTGGGACTCAAACCACAGTCAACTACATGGGAGTCCAGCGATGTAGCCATTATGCCAACTGCTGGTCCTACAAGTATTTTCTATCTCTCAACCTTCTGCTGTCTGGGAGACTGATAGTCATGTTTCATACTAGATAAATATTGGCAGGATTACCTAATTTCAGGTTCCTTAGGAAACCAGTAAGAATAACTGTCCTGTTTCTGATTCTTTGGATCAGGTTACTTGGATTCCATTACCTTAAGGGAAACCTGCAGCCTCAGTTTCATCTCATTATTTATGACCTCATGTTGGATGAACTGGCGCATCTGTAGCACAGTGGGGTCTTTGAGTATAGGGGGTGCGACACTCATTAGCTGTTGGGACCCAATGCGAAGGCCCTTCCAAATCCGAGTGCCAAATGGAGGTCCTGGAGTTTTTTTCTGTTAACAAAACAAAGCAAAAGAACCACCAAATAAATAATAATATTTTAATATTCAATTTAAAAACAAACAAACCAGCATAGCTATTACACTAGGAACCACTTGTTAGGGACAATGATAAAAAAAAAAAAACTTGCTCTCAAAAAACATCCTGCCAATATAAGGAAAATTAATAATATAACTAGGCAAGATTTCCTCTTTATGTGTATTGCCAAGAGTCTGGGTATTTCAAAATCCTATTGTGGGCTGCAGGTGGTACAGGACTCCCACATGGTCGACTACAGTTCAAGTCTTGGACCTGGTGGCTTGCTTTCTCACGTTTCTTTTCCCTCTCTCTCTCTCTCTCTCTTTCTCTGTCTCTCTATGGTCAAATTAAAAAATAATAATACCAAAATAAATACATAAACCTTATAAAATTTTTATATTGCATGATGTCCCACTGGGTAACATTCAGGGGAGTGTTAAACAATACTCTGTCATGGAAATGCAACAGCAGCCTAGTTCACAACAGATGTATCTGACTATTTTTAAATACCCTTCGGGGGTCCGAGACATTTGGAATTAAGCAGTCTTTAACTTTCTGGTTCCATGTACATTGTGACCCAGAAAAATTGTCTGAGAAAGTAATCATTGCATAGATCTGAGCATCTTTGAACTCACTCTAGATTAAGATGCTTCCATAGCTTTCTCAGGATTTCTTGGGCAAATAGGCCTGTCTTAGAGTAAACCCACATTTCTGTGTGGTCCTAGTGATTGATTTTTTTAGGAGTGAGGTGCCCTATGTCCTGAAATGTGCCTGATAAGCTTTATTTTAAAAGACCTGGTCAGTCACAGTACTCATAGGCTCACTAGGGCTGAGCCACTCCTGCCGGTGTAGAAGGCCACAGCTTAAGAGTTTCAAAGGAAGAGAATGTTTTCTTCAGATAAATGTTTCTTCAGATAATCTGAGATGTGACACATTCTTTGCCATCATGTAGCACTTTCAATATGGATATAATTTAGTAAGTCGTAGAAGAAATGGAGAGTCAGTGTGACTTGTCCTAAATCCCACGTTAGTGGTAGTCACGACTAAAATTCAATTCACCTTTATTTCATTGTGTTGATTATAGTCACCAAATTAAGACTAAGGGTAACGGGTCTTTGTTATTTGAAGTACTTATCATCCGTGCTCTTGCTACTAGATTTAGGACAGCAAAAATCATAACTTAAAATCATCTTCTTAATACTACCATTTCTCTCTTGTCATATTATCAATATCTTCACTGAATTAATAAATGGCATAAACTGGACATACTACATAAATTGCATGCAAAATGAAATGTGAACCTTGCAAGATGCAGGACTTCACAATTCTTACCCAAGATTTTTTTTTTTTCATTCTTTGCAAAACTTTAGGTGGGGCTTCTCTATTCTGACATAATTACAATACTTTCTAACATCACCGTTGCAAATGTGTGTGTAATTCTTCACATTATTCTTATATGCTCAGCTTGTGCATTTTTAATATGTGAATAAAAACGATAGAGTGAAACACCTGAAGTTGTGTGTTAACATTAATAAATGACAGAAGGGAAGATTTCTAGATGCAGTAGCATCAATTATTCCAGTGATAGGAGAAATGTAACATTGGTTACTCAGAAACGATATTTTTGGATGACAATACATGATTATATGGGATGGGATATAAAAGTCTGGTCCATTGATGGATAGAAATGCAAATAAAGCGACGTTTCAGCAGAAACTGTACCTCAACTGAGGGGAATTTTTCCCATGATCTGGACTGGAGATTAGGAGGAACAACTGTATCCAACTCCTTTTTTATTAGCCATGGTGATGCTTCATGAAAAGGGCGAAGGACTGTGATGCTCAGGGCACCTGGTTCAAAGAGTTATCAAAAGATCATTTCTCCATCAAAATTATTCTGAGAAATTCAATATCCACTAAATTCAATAAACACATTTTGAATTGCTTTCTACATAAAAAGATTAATGAGACACAGAGATTATTTTAGGACTTTAGAATCTAATAAGGAAGACAGGGCTTTTCCTCACTCTAACACCTAGAGATTAGATTTAGAGCACCCAGAAATAGTCATTGATACCTTATTGACACACGTCAAAGTCCTATAAATTCCATCAATAAACACTGAGTTTATTCACATCTATCCTTGCCATGGATGCTCCATTAGATCATGTGCCTCAGAAAGAGCCTCTCTTTGGCTACAGAACAACTTTGGTACCCATAAGTGCTCTGTGAATGAACTGTTCCCTGAAGTCAGGATGACGTGTTAGTCCATGATTAAAATTCTTTCACTTCCTAATGCACATGAGAAAAAAACAGAGGCCTTAACATTTTATCATCCCAGCCTTAACTTTCACCATTCTCCCCTCTTTGTTTCAGCTACTTAGGTCTTATCCTCTGTGTTCTTTTCTAAGAAAGCTCTTTTTACCTTAGTCAACCTCTACCTATGCACCAGTTCTTGGCTCAAGCGTCTGCAGGAAAGCCTTCTAGACTACATTGGGATCCTCTGTTAGATGCTCTCATAGAATAATGTTCCTTTTCTTCATAGACCTTATCCCACTTTATAATATATAGTTATTATGTGTGACTACATAATAAAGCCTATCTCTCCCATTAGACTACAAGCTCTGTGAGAGCAGGATCCATGCCTGCTTTAGTTCATCACTGTATTTCTAACAACCCATCAGTGTTTGGCATATGGTGGGTTGCCAAGTAGATGCTAGTTATGTTATTATGTTATTAACTAACAAATAATCTGAGATAAATTCTAGGTGATATGGGGCTTCCAGATTGGTCCAAGATAGCAGAGCAGGAGAAGACACTGAAGCAACTTCAGAGCCAGAAAGGAGTGCAGGGAATCATGTGGGGGACACAGAAGGCATTCTCATCAAGAGCACACGGACAATCCCACCTCAGACAGTACACCGACCTCATGCACAACTTCATCCTGAAGACATGGATGTTCATGAAATCAACTCCCAGAACAACCTTCCCTTCTTTCGAATTTTCTCCAAGAAAAATGAAATTACGGTTGTACTAGATACAGGGTATTTCCTGATGATGATTCAGAATCTGACCAAAGGAGCCACTCTTGGCTCCCTGTATCATTCCTTACTTTAATGCCCCCTAAGAATCATGTCAACTAACTGGCACTTGGAGCCTTTGATCCAGTCAAGCCAATCCTGTGACCAAGGGTAAGCTGCCACCCTGCCCACCCCGCCAGAAAAGCCCCTCTCTTGTGCCAGTCATGCCAAGTTCCCATTACTTTCTGGTCTTGGAGCAAGATTTTGAAAAATGAGAAGCCCATACTAAGCTTCCCCCTTCATTTCACTTTGTCGCCCTTGGAAAGGCTGACTTTCTTTAACTAAAAGTAACTGAATCACATTTAAAAAATAGATAAATTCTTATTCTCACACAGATTCTCACATGCACTGTCTAGCCACTCAGAGCCTCTCTCTATTCACAAAGACCACATGTACTGATACATGTACAGACATACTAAAAGATATAAGCACACAAGATGCAAGCATATAAACTCACACAAAATATATCCCAACAATCATAGAAAAAGTAAAAAGCACACACATAAGTCTAGGCACAACACATAGGTTTTATACACAGATAACATACAGGTTTATATTTATAAAATTGAAATACACATATTACATATATTGATGTAGCACTATATGCATCTCTAATGCTAATATTTTGAAGTTGATGAAAATACACAAATACCCAATGGATATAGCTTATATAATGTTTATATTCCAGGTTGGTATTATAACTAACCAACTAAATGTACTTTCTTATTTAGCTTCATCAAGGCAACATCTTCAAAATGATAGGGAAAAAAATTTTACAAGAGATACCTTACTTTTGTTTTGACCAAGATAAGACTATATGTAGAAATCTAGGCACATACTTGAACACAGATACAAATTTGCTTATAGATAGGAGAGGGAGTCATACTCAGATAGTTTACATAGGTTGATGCTCAGATATGTCTAGATATGAGCATCAATTGGAGTAGCTATTTAAGTAGGTTGACATGGCTAGGTGGAAAGTAAAGTAGAAAAGTAAGCCAAGGGGAAAAACTGGAGAAGAATAACATGGTGGACAGGAAGGAGGATGAGAATTGGGAGAAAGCAGACAGTGAGTTCCAGACAATCTTGGTTTCCTACTTGGCTGTTCCTGTACTGGCTCTTGGAGAACTACAGTAGTTGCTTCTCCATATGCCAACGACAGGTATTCTTCTATGTCACTGTCTCGAAGAAGCTCTATCCCTGATCCATCAGCATAGATAACAAAAAACCTATTTGGAGAAATAAAAATTGAATCACTTCAAGTATTCAGCTAACACGCTTCTTGAACTCAGAGTGTAAATTAAAAGATATGGTGGCATTATTATGGTCATCTTACCTGGGGACGTGTTCACCATAGATTTGTAGGTGATTCTTTTGAAGGTGAAAAGATGATAAACTGTCATAGCCCTCAGTTTTTACATTTAAGTCATCTTCTAATTTTTTTTCAGGTAGTATAGTTGATGCACGACCATCAGCCCTGACCTAAGGAGACAAAGTATATAAGAAACTTAAAAACCCCCAAAACCAAAAAACAAACAAAAAACCCAAAACTTCCATAATGCTTATATTTCTTTTCTTTTCTTTCTTTTTTTTTCTTTTCTTTTTTTTTTTTTGAAGGTTTTTGTTATAGGGCACATGTACTTTCCAGAAAGAAGAGAGACAGAGAGACAGTGAGAAGGAAAGTGAGAAATCACACCCTCAGGGAGGATGGGCACACTGCAATTTTTCCACTTCCATTCTCCTCCTGGGATTTGGGGCACCCACACACACATGCCCACTTATTTTCAAGCCACTAGGGCTGGGATTCAAACCATAGTTAGCCATGTGTGAGTCTAGCACCTTAACACTATGCCACCTACTGGCCCCCATGCTTATAGTTTTGCTAGTCCAATTTGAGAAAACAATTTTATATACTCAGAAAATTAAGGGTATTTGGTAGCATCACATACATTGCATTAATAAAAGTGAAAACCTAACAGCATAGCTCTATGTATAATCTGCATCTAGAATATGAACACAAACTGGAATGCATTCAGAAGAAAGTGACTAGGACAAAGAGGGGACTAAAAACTTTATCCTCTAAAGATTAGTTCAGGGAATTGGGAATTTAAACACGGAAGGAGGAGTAGTCAGGTGATAGCTCTTTTGAAATAATGAAAGGGCTATCACAGGGTAAAGGCTTATACTTCGGAATCCCAAGAGCAGAATTAGAACTCATCAATAGAATATAGAAACAGATTCAGTGTCAATATGAGAAAAAAAAGTCCTAGTTATCAATACAGTCTAGATATAACATAGGTCTCTCTAGAAAGGATTGTAGCTTAGGACAGAAGACTCCAGAAGGGGATGCCCAGTAAGAGTATCAGTACCTAGAATGTTTGGTGTGAACAAACCAGACATTTCACCCTAGAGGATTTGGGCTTTTAGTTTCTACTTCAGTGTGTTCTAAACAGAAATTGATCGGCTTGGGAACCAGCAGTTAGCATAATGGCTATGTTGCTGGACTCCCACGTGGTCGACCGCGGTTCGCGTCCCGGACTGTGGTTCGAGTTTCGGACCTGGTGGCTTAAACTCACGCCAGGCATGTGTGCGTGCCCAAGATCCCGAGAGGAGAATGGAGGAGAAGGGATTGCAGTGTGGCCATTCCCTCTGGGGGGGCAATTTCTCGCTTTCTATCTCTCTGTCTCTGTCTTTCTGGTGAATGCACGTGCCCTATAGCAAAAACCTCTCCAAAATAACAAAATAAATAAATAAATAAATAAATAAATAAATAAATAAATAAAACAAAGTACACTTGAGAATCAAAGAAAAGACACTGACATTCATTACTGCATGACCATAGTACTGATAATACGTGGACAACTAATCTCAAGGTAACTAAAGTAAATGTCTACAAGGAAGCTGTCTAGTGTGAAATATGTCAAAAATAACACAAAAATGAAAAGTTCTCTGTTGATGAAAATGTATATATGGGAATGTGTCTGACTTGACTAATAAGCACTGTATTCATGCTAGGAAAACAACATTGTACACTGTGAAGATGTACAATGATTAAATGTAAATTAAAACACAAAAAGGGCCAGCAAGTGGCATAGTAGTTAAGGTGTTGTACTTCCACATGGATGACCATGGTTTGAGTCCTAACCTGGTGACTCAAAACTCACACTGGGCACGTGTGTGTGTGTGTGCTCAAAATCCTGAGAGGAGAATGGAGAAGGATTGCAGCATGGTCATCCCCCATGCAGGGTGATTTTTCTCTATCTTTTTGTCTCTCTCTGTCTCTCTGGCAAGCGCACATTTCCTAAAAGCAAAAATCTCTTAAAAAAATACACACAAAACAACAACAAAAAGTCACAGGCTCTCTCCCATGCTAAAGATTCATTTTTACCTGAAAGGTGTTTCCCTCAGGATCCAGGACCTCACAGATAATCTCTGACGTGTGCTTCATGATGTACCTGCTGGCTCTCAGCTGCTCACGCTCTTGGAAAGGATGGTATAAGTCACTGCTTGATTCATGACAATATATCGCTGAACAATCTCTATCGATATGAAGACAGCCAGTGTTTGGAGGTAATACCTGGGAGGGTAACAAGAAGAGGTTAATTTAAAATTTTTTTTAGTTCTATTTGAGGGACTTGGACAATCATTTCAGGAAAAAGACCATCCAGAGATCATAGACATAAACTGCGTTTCAAGGAAGAAAACATTACCCATGAGAGGACTTAAGGTTTGGGAAGAACTACTTGATAGAAGCAAACTGGGGCTATCCCTGTGACCTCATATTTAAGGGAGCCAGATCTCACATGGCTGAAGGTGGTTCAAATCTTGGCCCCAGCAGCTTGAAAAACACTAGACGTGTGTGTGCACGTGTGCCCCAAGTCCTGACAGGGTAGAGCAATGGAGGAGAAGGGACTGCGGTGTGATTATATCTGTCTCTGGAGTGTGTATGCACTCTCTGGAAATTAAAAAAAAGAGAAAAACTGAATATTAAGGTGTAAGTCTCCTGTGTCCTCACATTTTACCTGCTCATGCTCATATCTCTTCTAAGTCATTGCCCTGTGCCTTCTTAATTCAGATATTTAGTGTATTTTAACTGAGGTAAATGTACTTCGCAATATTCAAAATGTTTGAGATCCTTCGTGTTTGTAGACAAGAATCATGTTGGGAAGTCAAAAGCTGTGAGATAAACGCTCACAGAAGCTTCTATTTGTCCTCACTCCTTTGGTGGCTAACACAGTGGTTAAGTAACAGTTCGAGGTAATGACTTCAGGTCTGACAACCCCTTTTTGAAATACAATTCACATGCCATAAATTCATACTTCAAAATTAATAATTCAGGGACCAGCAGTTGGCGTAATGGCTATGTTGCCAGACTCCCATGTAGTTGACTGTGGTTTGAGTCCGGGACCCGGTGGCTTAAACTCACACTGGGTACATGTGCATGCGTGCCCAAGATCCCAAGAGGAGAATGGAGGAGAAGGGATTGCAGCATGGCCATCCTCCCTGGGGGGGTGATTTCTCGCTTTCTGTCTCTCTGTCTCTCTCTGTATTTCTGGTGAGCGTGTGTGCCCTATAGCAAAAACCTCTCAAAAATTATAATTCATTGGTTTTTAGTATGTTAAAAAACTTGTGCAACCATTATAACTAATTCCAGAATATTTTTATTATCCCCTAAAGAAATACTGATCCCATTAATAGTCACTCTGGATCAGTCCTGCTCTTAGGCCCTGGAAACCGTGAGGCTACTGTTTCTTTTTTTTTTTTTTAAATAATTATTTTATTTCACTTTATCTATCTGTCTGTCTGTCTATCTATCTATCTATCTATTTATTTTTAATTTGACCAGAGAGGGGCAGAGTGAGTGAGGGAGAAAGGGAAAGTGAGAAAGCAAGCTGCCAGGTCTGGGACTTGAACTGCAGTGAGCCATGTGGCAGTCCAGCATCCTTACCCACCACACCACTTGCCGGCCCCATGAGACTACTGTTTCTACTGGCATTTCATACAAATGGAAACATGTACCATGTGGTCTTGTGTGTCTGGGTTTTTTCACTTAGCAAAAGTTTGCAAGAGTCAGCCATGTAGTAGCATACATCAGTACGTTATTCCACTTTATGGATGAGTAACACTCCATTGTATGACTGTTTCATATTTTGCTTATCACAGTTATCACTCATGAGTTGATATTTGGGTTGTTTTCAGTCTTGCTATTGCTAAAAATGCTTCTTAAATGTTCATGTGTAAGTTTTTATGTGGATGTATGGCTTAAATTTCTTCTCAACAGGAGTGGAATTACTCGGTCATGTGACAACTATGTTTACTTTTTGAGGAACTGGCAAAAAATATTCCAAAGTGACTACCATTATACATACCAACCAGCAATGTCCAAGGGGCCTGATTTCTCTTCATTAACTCTTGTCATTGGTTGTCTCTTTGATGACAGTCATTTTAGCGGGTGTGAAGTAATATCTCATTGTGGTTTGATTTGCATGTCCCTACTAATTATGGCGAGCATCTTTTTATGGCATGTTTACCATGTTTATATCTTCTCTGGTGAAATTCAAGGCTGTGTTTATTTTCAAATTGTGTTATTAATCTTTTTATTATTGAGTTGTAGAGTTCTTTATGTATTCTGTACAACAGACATTATCAGCTATATGATTTGCAAATAATATCTTCTGTAATTTATCTTTTCTAATTTCTTGATGATGTCCTTTGAAACCCAACTTAATTTTGATTTTGACAAAGCTTGAGCTTTGGGTGTCATATCTATGACATGAAAATTTACACCTATGTTTTCTTTCATCTCATACCTTTAGTACTTTTTTTGCCCTACAATAACCTACACTGGAAGAAGAGAGAAGATAATAACATTATCAGGAGGTCTGAGAGGGATAAACTGACTTCAGCAACTTTCATAGTAATGAATGTTTGTTAGTAATGTTTGTTTGATCTCTGTACATCATCCCCTAGCTATGAGCTCTCAGTATCTAGTGACAAGTATCTGATATACTGGCTCTTGTGTTCCTTTTACAGCAAGTAAAAAGTCAAAGGCAAATCTGTCTGAGATTAAGGGAACTGGAGGTTGACCCTGGGTGGTTGTATGCAATAGGGAAATGCAGGAAGGTGGGGTAGTGCTAACAGTGCTTCTCCTTGACCTTCTCAAGACAATGCTTTGCTTCACTCCTGGGAGCTGGTCTCCCAGAACCTACTGTCAGTTCCCTGGGAACTGCCTTCCCAGAACTGCACCAATCATATGCTCCCTCCCATCCCAGTAAGACATTGAGTAGGGGTGGAGTGCAGATGGGAAGGATGCAGAAAAAGAATGAGGGTACAGGTGCAGGAGGTGAAAATGGTCTGACAGGCACAGGCCAGATCATCTAAGTGCTTCTAGCACTCACAGTGCCTAGCACAAAAGAGATCCTCAAAAAATGCATTTTGGTATATGCCTGCGATCCCGAACTACCAGTGCTTTGTAAAACAAGCAGGGTGATGTTTTTCTGGAATGGACTGTAAGAAGAAAATGAATAAACGAGAGTTTAAGAAATGTATTCTAAGACCAGGTGAGAACAGAAAGCACAGCAGGATAGCCGCAGGGGCACAGTGGTTAACGCAATATTCTGTGATGCTGAAGTCACATGGGAAGGTCGTGGGTTTGAGGTCTGAGTTCTTTGTGTACATATGTGCACATGCAGTGATCCAAGCTGACTGAGGCCTGCGGTGGATCATAGCATATACGCTCTGTTGGGCGTGCCTCTCTTTCTCTCTGCTAGAAGAAATAAATACATAAAATAAAAGAAAACAACAGAAATCTATGTTGCAGGATTTTTTGCTGTCCCAGAGGAGTGGATTGTCATAGCAGAATGAGAAATATCTTTGGCCCTCCTCACTTTTCTCCTGCACCTACCTGGTACGTCCCCTGCGGCTTCGCAATGATAGACGTTCCATCCCCAAAGGTAGCGCAGCAGCTGCTGTCCTCACAGTTGGTGATGACAGTGGCATAGTGTGAGCTTTCTATCCGCATGCACTTCACCTGCCTGGTGATGGTCAGGGGACCTAGGGCTGCAAGCAAATGGACGGAAACACACCTGATCACGCAAACAGCTCTCAGTTGGCTGATTTTGCTGCTGCCATTCAGTTGTGTGAATTCACCAGTGGGGAAAAAAACAAAAACAAAAACAAAAACAAACCAAAAAACAAAAACAAGAAACACAGTTGAAAAGTAGACCCAGAGTGCTGAGAACTCCATAAGAACTGTCAATTCAGAATAATTCTTCGAGAACAACTCTTCTTAATAAATTCTCTTGTTCTTACAACTCTATTTTGAGAAACTGAAGGAGTCCAATTATTCAATTTGAGAAGCACTGTTAGTATTCAATTTGAGAATGCTGTTAGTATTCCAATAAAAGTTTACACTTGTTACTGCATTGCCATATTTCTTCAGTATTTTTAATATATATGAGAAAAATATAAGGTTGAAGTTTCTCCTTATGCCTGGTTCTCCTTATGCCTGAATTCACCAGAAAAAACAAAAACAAAAACAAAAACAAACCAAAAAACAAAAACAAGAAACACAGTTGAAAAGTAGACCCAGAGTGCTGAGAACTCCATAAGAACTGTCAATTCAGAATAATTCTTCGAGAACAACTCTTCTTAATAAATTCTCTTGTTCTTACAACTCTATTTTGAGAAACTGAAGGAGTCCAATTATTCAATTTGAGAAGCACTGTTAGTATTCAATTTGAGAATGCTGTTAGTATTCCAATAAAAGTTTACACTTGTTACTGCATTGCCATATTTCTTCAGTATTTTTAATATATATGAGAAAAATATAAGGTTGAAGTTTCTCCTTATGCCTGGTTCTCCTTATGCCTTTTTGCAATTCATTTTTACACTTAAAAATATACATGTATCAAGAACAATATAAAATATTTGTGTGCTTTAAATTTACATAAATTATGTATTACTCTATGTAATTATATAATTACTGAACCTATCATTTTATATTTGATTTTTTCACTTATCACTGTTTTGAGACCTCTAGTCATCTTGATGTGTATGTGTGTGTGCACTATATATTTATGTGTGTGTAATTCTTTTAACCACTAGTATTCCTTTGTAGGGATATACCACGTTTTATTGTTCTATTCTGCCATTGATGAACATATATTTTTCCCAATATTTTAACACTATATTAGTGTTACAAGTATTACCCCATACCTGTTTCCTTGTGCAGATGTGTCAGAGTGTCTCTATATGTAGAAATAAAATTAATGATCATATAATATACCTGATTTTACTGGGTTTAGAAGGAATTGGGGAGATGTATGTCAAAGGTACAAAGATGAAATTATATAGGATAAATAAGTCTAGAGATCCAATGTACAGGATGAGGTCTATTGTCAATAATATTGTATTATATGATGACAATTTTCTAAGAGATATGTTAGGTGCTCTTATCTATTTCTCACTCACACACACAAAATGTACCTATGTGAAGTAACAAACATGTTAATTTGCTTGGTTACAGTCACTATATACATAGTTATACACACACACATAAATGGATAGCAAAACATCATGTCGTACCCCTAAAATATATGTAATAAAAAATGAACTGGCATTAAGAAAAAGAAAGCTGTGAAATAACTTGTCATTAAAAACTATTTAAATTTAGGTTGGGAATGGTGGTACAATTTTGGAATCTTTGAGCAGTTTCTAGTTACTTAGCAGCTGCAGCTTCCTTTTCTCTTACACTACCTTTCTGACAATGAGAGACAGGCTCAGATTTGAAGGAAGACCTATCTGAGGTCACCTATTTATGCAAATTAGATGCCTTAAGGATTAAAGAAAAAGATGTGAAAGCTAGTCTCCAGGTTAGATAACTCATGAGTATAAGACTTCTAGTTTACACTAAGCTGGATCATAGATTTTTAGTGGTGAAAATCAAAAAGATGTTATTGTTATCCATTATCCAACTAAAGTTCTTATCACTCCCATCTCTGATGAGAATAAAGATCATAATAAAAGGTCCTAATGTGTTTCCACGTTCACTGCAGCAGTATTCACAATGTCAACACTTAGAATGAATCTAAGAGTCTGTCAACAGGTGAATAGATAAATAGAATATGCTTAACATACACTATGAAATACCATTTAGCTTTAAAAAAATTATCATTTGCAAAAACATATCAATGGATGAACCTGGAGAATATTATGTTAAGTGAAGTAAGCCAGGCACATAAACATAAATATCACATGGTCTTACTTACATATGGAATCTAAATAAGTTGAACCCTTAGTATTAGAGAGAAGAATGATGGTTACCAGGGGCTGTAGAGCAGGAAGGGGGAGAGGGAAGATGTTGGTTAAGGATCCACAAATTCAGCTAGATAGGACGGAAAGATCTAGTATGTGACATGGTAACCATAGTGAATAATAATACATCATAGCTTGAAAGTCGTTGAGAAGACAGATTTTAAGTGTTCACACCACAAAAACATGAATGTGTATGAGTTAATTAGCTTGACTGAGCTATTTCATAAATGTATATGTTTCAAAACATCATATGTACATAATAAATGTACACAATTTTTGTCCATTATAAAGTAAAATTAGATTCGAAACCAAGACAAACAGCAAAATAACAATAAGAGGCTCTAATAGATCTAGCTTTGGACTCTATCAGTGTTCCTTGGCTGGCTGACTTTTCGGAAAATTATTTTTTAATACATGTTCAACAATCAGTAGTGAGGATTTTACTTATGCTTAAAAGGTATAAAATATTGTCATGTTCTTGAGAAATGACACTTACTTGTCTTTTGATCCTCATCATATGGAAGAATGATATGATCTTCATAAACTTGATAAAAGGTGGTGATTCTGGTACCATCAGCATGGTCTACTATCTGGGTACCATCTTTCTTTTTAACAATGATCACTTTGTCTTCTCGAGTTATCATAACCTGCACATTCAAAGGCATAGCATAAACATTTGGCCAGTGTGCTTATTCATATGACCCACTGAATCTTCAAAGTCCTGGTTATTTTCAAACGAAAGTTTTTATCTTATCTTCTTAATCTAAACTTCACAACACTCCTGAGAGGCAGGTGGTAGTATCCTCATTTTATAGATGAGGAAATTAATGCTTAAAGAAGTCAAGACATTTGCCCAATGTCTTAACTTTCAATGATTAAATGCCGGGGCATATTTGTGAATAAAAGGTGAACATCAGGACTGGTTTGACTGGGGTCTATTTGGGAAAATGACCACAGGCTTGGTTTCCTTGGAAACTATAGAGTAGTGATAAGTCTGGCACTTTGTGACTTTCTTGTGTTCTGTGAAACTCTGCCGAACAGGGTAAGTTGCAAATTGCATGCCATTTTCATTTTGTTTAGATTCAACAGATGCTGCAAAGGCCCACAGATGTTAGAGAGGAATAGCTGAAGAATTGAAAAAGTCCATTTTGAAGTCACCAGTAACTGGTTCTAAATCGTGGCTCCAGTACTTCCTGGATGTGTATTCTCAACCCACTACTTCACTTGCTGAGGCTCAATTGTAATGTACATTGGTAGGAGGACTGAGTGGAATAACTGACATAAAATCCCTAAGAGGAAGTCAGGCTCATAGGAAGTGCTATTGTTTATTCCAGGACTTTCAGTTTCATGTCATAAACAACCACTAGTTTATCACTTATTCTAATGATATAAATAAAATCTTTAGTACAGTAGCTCTGCGGTATTGAACACTTGAGTTATTTAATGTGAGCCTGTTTTATCTTCTTAATTATACCATTAAGTTCTTTAAAATCAAGGATCATAAACAAATTTCTACCATTCACTGCAAATGGACACAAACAAATAGGGATAGAATATAGCTCTCACTCTAGAAGGTAAGATATATACACAAATATATTCAACATAAAGAAACACACGACATCATTAATCATACATATATTAAAATTGGCATAGGAGGAAACAGCAGGTGGCATAGTGGTTAAGGTGCTGGATTCCCACATGGCTGACTGTGGTTCGAGTCTTGGACCCAGAAGCTTGAAACTCATGTCAGGCACCCTGTGTGTGAATGCCCAGTACCCTGTGGAGAATGGAGAAGAGATTGCAGTACGGTCATTGCCCCATGGGGTGATTTCTCACTTTTTCTCTCTCCATCTCTGTCTCTCGAATGAGTGCACATGACCTATAGCAAAAAACCTCTCAAAAAATAATTTGGTATAGGAAGTTCATGACCTGCTTCTCAGTTTTAAAATTAGTATTTCCATCCTGACTCCATTGTGCCCCTTCCCCCACATAAATTAGTATTTCATGATATTGATACATTATGTTTGTCATATATATAACAGTATGCTTTTAGATTTGGGAAGATGGATCGATCTGTTCATCCATCTATTATTTAATATAGATTTATCAAAAATTATTATTTGCTTCAGGACCTAATAATTTAGGAAATTTTGCTATATGCCATAGTTTTCCATACCGTTTCAGTGACAGGATCTGTTGCCTGAAAGGATAATAGTGAGGCCAAGTTGTCCATTCTTTCTGATCCTTTGGTACCAATCTGATTTCCTTCAGGTGTGGTTGTAAACCAGGTGCCTGGGTGAACCTCCACGGGGGTTACCACCTGAACTATCTCTGGGGGAGGTTCATGAATTTCATTCTTATGTATCACTGATGACTGATTTTTGTGACCTTTTCCTGTGGAAGTTCAAGTAAAATCAAACACAACAATACAACTTTAATATCAATTGTGTACATCATCTATTACATTTGCCACAACATAAACCACCCCAGATACAGAATTAAGTAGCATTCATTAAATATAGCATTTCTCAATAGGAAAAATATCAGTTTATGAATATCTTAATTTTGGTACTGCTGGATTCCCACATGGCTGACTGTGGTTCGAGTCTTGGACCCAGAAGCTTGAAACTCATGTCAGGCACCCTGTGTGTGAATGCCCAGTACCCTGTGGAGAATGGAGAAGAGATTGCAGTACGGTCATTGCCCCATGGGGTGATTTCTCACTTTTTCTCTCTCCATCTCTGTCTCTCGAATGAGTGCACATGACCTATAGCAAAAAACCTCTCAAAAAATAATTTGGTATAGGAAGTTCATGACCTGCTTCTCAGTTTTAAAATTAGTATTTCCATCCTGACTCCATTGTGCCCCTTCCCCCACATAAATTAGTATTTCATGATATTGATACATTATGTTTGTCATATATATAACAGTATGCTTTTAGATTTGGGAAGATGGATCGATCTGTTCATCCATCTATTATTTAATATAGATTTATCAAAAATTATTATTTGCTTCAGGACCTAATAATTTAGGAAATTTTGCTATATGCCATAGTTTTCCATACCGTTTCAGTGACAGGATCTGTTGCCTGAAAGGATAATAGTGAGGCCAAGTTGTCCATTCTTTCTGATCCTTTGGTACCAATCTGATTTCCTTCAGGTGTGGTTGTAAACCAGGTGCCTGGGTGAACCTCCACGGGGGTTACCACCTGAACTATCTCTGGGGGAGGTTCATGAATTTCATTCTTATGTATCACTGATGACTGATTTTTGTGACCTTTTCCTGTGGAAGTTCAAGTAAAATCAAACACAACAATACAACTTTAATATCAATTGTGTACATCATCTATTACATTTGCCACAACATAAACCACCCCAGATACAGAATTAAGTAGCATTCATTAAATATAGCATTTCTCAATAGGAAAAATATCAGTTTATGAATATCTTAATTTTGGTACTTGAATCTTGGCTGGATTCTCAGAATCTTCCCATAACCATACACATGGGTCACAGCTCACTGTCCATAGAACAAAAGTTATTTTTGTCATTTTGTGTACACTATTTTTTTTTTTACATTTTTCTATGGGGCATGTGCATCTGCTGGGGGTAGGGGGGGAAATGAGAGAGCGCCTCTCAGTGGGATAGCCACGCTACAATCCCTTCTCCTCCACTCTCTTCTCAGGATTTCGGACACACACACATATGCACCTGGTGTGTTTTTCAAGTCACCAAGTCTGAGACTTCAATCATGTAGCTGGCCATGTGAGATCTATAGAAAGCTGCCTTACCCACCATGCCACCTGCTGGCCATGGTTTCTGTATACTTTTGAGTCTTGCTTAAATCTCCCTGGATCCCAGATTTTGGGTTTTGTGCTTTGATTTTTAAAGCATGTCTTTTCTTTCAGACTCCTTCTTTAGACTATTAGACCCTATTATTTACTAGATTTTCAACTTCTTCTTAATTATTATTATTATTATTTTAGGTTTTTGTCATAGGGTATGTGCACTCACTAGAGAGAGAGAGAGAGAGAGAGAGACAGGGAAGATGAGAAATCACACCCCCCACCCCCCAGGATGGATGGCCACGCCACAATCCTTTCTCTTTCATTCTCCTCTCAGGATTTTGGGCACGGAGGCACACATGACTGGTGTCATTTTTTAAGCTGCTGGGTCTGAGGCTTGAACTGTGGTCAATCTTTGTGGGAGTCTTACACCTTAACCACCATGCCACCTGCTGGTGGATTTGGGAAGATGGATCCATCTGTTTGACCATCTAATATTTTAATATATATTTATCGAAAATTTACTACTTGTCAGTCATACATAGGAAACACCTTTCTCCAATTCTAAATCTAAGAAACCTTACCAGTTAGGTATATCCTTCTCTCTCATTAGTTTAATTACCATATCAACAATAATCTGATACAACCTTTATTTTTCCCATCTCCACCCCACCTCCTACCATTCATTTGAAATAGGAAGAATGAACTTTAGATATCCTCCTAGAACTTTGTGATCAATATCCCAATCCCTCTATCCTAGTAGCTTTAATCCATATGATAATGAATGATCTACAGATAAAATTTGCTAATATTATCGTACCTCAGTAATAAGACTAGCTCAGTCCAGGAACAAACTGCAAGCACAGATGGTAAAGAATTGTTAACCAGGAAGATTCTCCAGAGTCAAGCCATGAAATATACATCAGAGCATGACTCTTGGCCTAAATAATGGCAACTCGGCTAATGATGAAAACCAAACAAGAAAGATACATCAGTGAAGCTTTTCCATTGCCCTAAGATTTCATATGGATCTATTTACACTTCCAGAACATTAGCACAGAATGGAAGAGGTGTCACTTTCAAGATAGGTGGAGAGAAGATCCTTTAGAAATAGTAGCAAATACTTCAGAAATTATTTTTTCCCTTCCTCCTATTTCCTCCTCTTGTTCTGCTTTGTCTTTTATTTTGTATCAAAAGAGGTGAGCTACAGAAAGGGCATCATTCTAGCACAGGGGATATAAAACAGAATGGGGTGAGGAATGGTGCGGTATGTGCAGACAACTACTAGCAGGTTAATGTAACCGAGAATAAACTTCAAGTCAATTTAACTGAGGGCAGACTGGAGAGGTAGTCACTGACTCAACCAAGTGGGCCTTTGTGGTATGTATGTTAAAAGACTCGTATTTGAGGATCAGCAAGTGGAGTGGTGGTTGGGGTGCTGGATCCCACATGGCTAATCGTGCACATCAAGTCGCAGACTCTCTGGCTTGGGGGACACACTGGGCACATGTTCTGTCACAAGAGGAGGGTGGTAGTTAGGGGATTGCAGCATGGCCATTACACCTGGGGGTGGTTCTCCCTTTCGGTCTCTCTTTGTCTCTCTCTGGTGAGCATATATGCCCTATAACAAACACAATAATAATTTTAAAAAGATTTTTTTTCTGTAGGTAATAGTTAATAATTAAAGAAATACAAGAAGGATAGTGACATAAGAATACTTAGATGCTTTTGGCAGGATTATGGAGAATTACTAGTAATGAAAGCATGAAAAGTGTGAAGAATAGTTAGGTTTTAAAGTAGAGATTCGAGATGGTAGTAGAAATAAACAAGTACAATTTTGGTGGAAATGTAGACTGGGGAGCATATTTGGGTATGAAAGTATCAGGGTGAATATGGGAGGTAAAACAATACATGAAAAGATCACATGTAGATTCTCAAATTTTAATCAACTACTCTGTTCCATTATTAAATGTATGGGTCAATAAAGCAAGAAGACTGACCAAGGATAGGGACAAAAGAAAGAGGAAAGAAACAGACATGGCTAGAATTCCATTTTTAATAACATCACAGACGAGATGCTTAGAATTCCGGAAAAAATAACTAAAACTAGTAGAAAACATTTCTTAATCCTTTTGAAAAGTGTATATGGGTTGGCCACTATAAATAAGGTCAAGAGAAGCCAAGGATTGCATAAAAGTAGGGACCCAAGGAGGTAAATCGGCACTGAAGCTGGCTTTTGCCCTGTGGGTCTTTGTCAGAAAGGGTGATTCTGAGAATTTTTGTTTCTGTGTGATTGGACTTAGTGGATCAGACTGGGTGATTTTGATTACTTGTTTTCTCTGCATTGTAGGACTCAGGGAGAAATAAAAGCCAGAGTCCAAAGAATTTAGAGTCAAAGCAATAGAATAAAATTATGATCTCATAGTCAAAAAATATCAAAGACTTTTATAAATGAAACCAAGCACATCCAGTGGGAGTTAAAAGAAACAATACGGAGTGGAATTTCAATTAGATATTGAAATTATTAGACACAGAATATAAGATGTGTATTTGATATGATTCCAGAAGTTAAAAAGAGGTCGTAAAACATGATAAAAAGAAGGCAAATTAGAAAACAAAATGAATAGGAGTCTTAGATATAAAAAAGTATTAAGTAAAAATTTTAAAACGTTTACTTTTCCTAAGAGAAAAAGAGAGAGACAGAGAGAGAGAGAAACAGTCATCCCCAGAGCCTGCTCTATAGCACAATGATTAAGCACTGTATAGCAAATTGGAGCCCAAATGGCCAACTGCAGTTCAAATTCCTGCCCTCATCTTAAAAAATGCACATGCACACACTGGGCACATGTGCATGCATGCCCCAAATCCTGATAGGATGGAGAAATGGAGAAAAAGGGTTATAGATGACTATGCGCTCAGGGGAGTGCTTTCTCTTTCTCTTTCCTCTCTCTCTCTTTTTTCATGCTTTCTCTCTAAAAAGTAAAATAAATACACAGGCATCCCCCAAGGATTCTCACACCAGGATCCACCCCTAGTCTCAGATAGCCTGGACCACAGGCACATGTGCAGGTGCCTGGTGTGCACAGAGAGGTCCTAGGATATGAACCTGAGACTGTCCTATATGAATCTACTTGTGCCACCAACTGGCCCTAAAATTTTTAAAAAATTAGCAATCAGGTTTAACAGGAGATGAAACACAGTTTAAAAGAAGAACCAGGGGCCAGCAGGTGGCATAGTTGTTAAGGTGTTGGACACTCCCACATGGCTGACCACGGTTCAAATCCCAAACCCGGTGGCTTGCTTTCTCACTTTCCTGTTCTCTCTCTGTTCAAATTAAGATAAATAAATAAAATTAAATGAATAATTCTTAAAAAAATAAAATAAGAACTGAAAGATATAGCTCTGAAATAGTTATTTAGAATAAAACTCAGAGAACTAAAGTGATAGAAGTAATGAAAGAGAGTTAAAAGGCCTCTAATAAATGTATGTTTAATTGGAATTCCAGAAAAGAGGAGATAGTAATGGATCAGAAAAAATATTTAAAGAGATAGTTATTAAGAGAGTTCCAGAAGTAATGACACTACTAATGTATCAATTCAAGAAACCCAAAGCATTCTCACTTGGTGAAGTGAAAATAAATCCACATCTAGTCAAATCATATTGAAATTGTAATAAAAAAAAATCCACAGAAAATATTTTAAGCGAGTTAGATTATCTCCAAAGCAACAATAGTTAGACTGACAGCCAACTTTTTAACAGCAACAATGGGAACAAGAGTATGAGGAATTATTGTCAATGTTCTGAGAAAAAATTCCTGTCCATATGGAATTCTATGCCTAATCAAATCATCTCTCATGAATGAAAACAACATAAAAACATTTCAGGAAATATTTAAACAAAAGAGAATAAAATCTATAAAGACAAAAATATTTCCAATTGAATTTTTAATATGCTTCTCACAGGAGACACATTTTAATATAAACCACAGAAAGTAAAATACAAGTGTAGAAAAAGCTATACCAATAAAGTATTAAATAGTGGTTGGTATGTCTATAATCATATAATAGATAGATTAAATTTACCATAAGATTAAATTTACCATAAGCTACAGTAATTTTAAAATTGGAAATATCTTATTCAACACTCTACATTATATTATGTTGTGCACATTTGATAATAGTTCTACTAATTTTGTTTTTGTTTTTGTTTGGAAGTATACATTGGATTGTCAGACATTTTTTACTGTGCTGTGATATACCATTGATTTGAATATTATACACTGTATGCATGCTTTAAAAAATCATACTGTACCCTACCAAAATATATAATGATTACATGATATAATGATGTGTAATGATTATATGTTAACCAGAAATCACAATAAGATAAATCACAAATGTCCAAAATCATATTCTCATATATGAGAAAGCCTGACAGAACCAAAAATAGACAAATTTACTTCACAAATAATGAAATTAAATAATAATGAGTACAGCATAGGAGATCACTCCATTCTATCAGAAAATGGAAACATTTATCTGCTGAAGTAATTGATATACTATACTGAAAAAATCTGTATGCATATACAACAAGGGTTGATACATTTTTGCCTGTGAGGCAAGTAAGACCCGCTGTCTGCTTTGTAGAGTCTGAGAATAAATAATTCTCTTTACATTTCTAGACAGCTAAAAAGATCAAAAGTTATTTTTATAGCCAGAATTATATGAAATTTAGTATCCATAAATAAAGTTTTATTGGAACACAATAGTCAGGTTTATTAATTATATATTGGCCATGATGACTTTTATGCTCCAATGACAGAGCTGAGTAGTTGTGACAGAGACCACATGGCCCACAATGTCTAAGATATTTATTCACTCCCCCCTTTACTGAAGAGCTTGCTGAACTTGGATATAGATCTGGACAACAAAACTAACAAGTTTCATCTAATAACATAAGATTAAATTTACCATAAGCTACAGTAATTTTAAAATTGGAAATATCTTATTCAACACTCTACATTATATTATGTTGTGCACATTTGATAATAGTTCTACTAATTTTGTTTTTGTTTTTGTTTGGAAGTATACATTGGATTGTCAGACATTTTTTACTGTGCTGTGATATACCATTGATTTGAATATTATACACTGTATGCATGCTTTAAAAAATCATACTGTACCCTACCAAAATATATAATGATTACATGATATAATGATGTGTAATGATTATATGTTAACCAGAAATCACAATAAGATAAATCACAAATGTCCAAAATCATATTCTCATATATGAGAAAGCCTGACAGAACCAAAAATAGACAAATTTACTTCACAAATAATGAAATTAAATAATAATGAGTACAGCATAGGAGATCACTCCATTCTATCAGAAAATGGAAACATTTATCTGCTGAAGTAATTGATATACTATACTGAAAAAATCTGTATGCATATACAACAAGGGTTGATACATTTTTGCCTGTGAGGCAAGTAAGACCCGCTGTCTGCTTTGTAGAGTCTGAGAATAAATAATTCTCTTTACATTTCTAGACAGCTAAAAAGATCAAAAGTTATTTTTATAGCCAGAATTATATGAAATTTAGTATCCATAAATAAAGTTTTATTGGAACACAATAGTCAGGTTTATTAATTATATATTGGCCATGATGACTTTTATGCTCCAATGACAGAGCTGAGTAGTTGTGACAGAGACCACATGGCCCACAATGTCTAAGATATTTATTCACTCCCCCCTTTACTGAAGAGCTTGCTGAACTTGGATATAGATCTGGACAACAAAACTAACAAGTTTCATCTAATAAATATTAAGAGAAAGTTGAATAAAATAATTACAGGGTACACGATCTTTCAAGTACAGACCGAAAAGAAACAAAACTTTACCTTCTAGGAGGGCTATAAATCATGTTGCAACACATTTAAACAATTAGTTAAATATCAATTATAAAAGCAAACTAGGTTTGGAAATTTAGGAATAAGTTTAAATAATATAAAGGTCAAAAGTAAGTTTAGATGGAATTTACATAATATTTGGAACTAAAAAATATCAAATACTAAATATTTCTTGTGGGATGGGAGAAGCATTTTTAAGATGGCAAGTAAAGGGCAACAAAAGCCACTCCTTCCACAAAAACAATGAGAAGAAACACTGGGGAAAAATAACCAAAATCAGCTTTATTCAGAACGTTTGAAATTAGCCAAAGAATTGTAACAATCTGAGAAACAATTCAAGAAAGACTGCTGAATCTCAGTAAGGGCAGCTGCTTTGTGGTGTTATAACTTTTCTTCTTTTTGAAATGGTATTTACAGAACTGCATTCCATATATGGAATTTTATTCTGTTCTAAAAAGAAATGAACTATTAAGCTATGAGAAGACAGAAGAATTGTAAATGCATGTTACTAAGTGAAAGAAGTTGGCCTATGGAGGCTACATACCATATGAGTCCAGTTATATGACATTCTGGAAAAGGCAAAACTATGGAGAGTACAAAGGTTAGTAGCTGCTAGGAGTTCAGGGAGAGCAGAGTATGTGTGGTCCACAGGGTAAAGGACAAGAGAAGATGGAATAGGTGAAACACCAGGATTTTTAGGATGATGAAATTATTTTGTATGAAACTATAGTTGTAGATATTATGCATCTGTCAAAACCCATAGAATGGACAACACCAAGAGTGAATCTTAATGAAAACTATGGATTTTAGTTAATAACAATGTATTAATATTAGTGCTTTAAAGGTAACAAATGTTCCACATTAACGCAAGACGTTAGTATTAGGGGAAACTGTGAGTGAGGAAAAGGAGGTGTGGGGTATATGGAAACTCTGGACTGCCTCTAAATTTTCTGTAAACTTGAAATTGCTCTAAAAAAAGTGTAAAAATGAGTTATGAGAGTGAAGACCATATTGGGGTGCCTTTCTCTCTCTCTACCACCTATGGAAGAAATAAATACAATTTCAAAAAGAATCTATTCATTATTATTTTTTTCATATTTATTATTGAGGAAAAAGCAATTTGTAAAACCATATGTAATTCTGTGATTGTAATTAAAATTCACATATGTGTGTGTATGTATATATGAATGTATTCATAAAAATGTGAGAAGTATAATATCAGTGATATAGAAAACTTATTAAGCATTTGAGAAAACTTTACTAAATCTGTTTTAAATCAGGAAGTTTCAATTGTACCTTTCTTTGTGATGACAATTTCAGATGGCGCTGTTTCTGACTTTTGCTGAAAAACTGAATCCATCATCTCTCCACTATGAGGGCTCAATGACATTTCAGGAGAAGAATAAATAGGACCTGAGTCAGGACTATTGCAGACAGTACCATCTGCAAAGAGAATCTGAAGGAAAAACAAAAGTTCTCAGCATTCTCAAGCGAGGGAGAGGCTGGTTAACAACAAACAGTGTGCATCAAACTGAAATACATGCAAAATAATCCCAAGAAGAGACGCTGGTTGCAGACCTCCAGGCTCAGCATCAGAGAGCATCTCATACAAGGGTCGATTTGGAGCCCAGAGATAATGGCTTAATAACCAGCACAATATTACTTTATATTTTTTCATTTACCTTCCATTTTGTTTCTTTTCCTTTTATTTCCTTTTATTGGATTGATTTGTGTTTGACTTTCTTTTTTTCATCCTTCTCCTTTCCCCTATGCAACTGGGACATTTCACACTCTATTTCAATTTCTTAATGACTAAATTAAAAACATTAGCATATATTTAAACATTTACTTTCCATTAATATCTACTTAGTATGTATAGTATCTTCAGGTATATTTAATTTAATTTTATTTTTTTGAGAGGTTTTTGCTATAGGGCGCATGCATTCGCCAGACAGACAGAGAGAGACATAGAGACAGAAAGCGAGAAATCACCCCCCAGAGGGGATGGTCACGCCACAATCCCTTCTCCTTCATTCTCCTTTCAGGATCTTGGGCACGCACGCACATGCGCCTGGCGTGAGTTCTAAGCCACCGGGTCCTGGATGCGAATCGCGGTCGACTATGTGGGAATCCGGCAACATAGCCATTATGCTAACTGCTGGTTCCCAGTATTTCCAGGTATTTTTGATACAGTATTAGTATCTACACACTTCCAATGAACATGAGAAGGACTGACTGCCATTGGTGTTTCTAATAAAACAAAAACCAAAAAGTCAAATGTACGCCTGTGTCTTAGTCTTTTACAGGTAACCGTTTCCTTTCAGGAATCTTTTGAGTCCTAAAATTGCATGACATATTTAGATGTTCTTATAAGAGAAATGACATCAGTCTTGACTGGCACTTGGTTGTCCTATTTGATCTGAAATATTTTTATTTTAAACTGTGAGAAAACTTCTTGTGTCTTTGATGATTTCCTCTTCCATTCTCACTATTTTCTTTACCTGGAAGAAGTTCTATTATATCGATTCTTTTTCAATATCTCTTCACCTTTCTCTCCCTCGTAATCCATTTTCTTCTACCACTTGATCTTTCACAATTATTTTTAATTTCCAAGAACTCTATTTTTTTCACAGCAATTTAAAAAAATTACTTTACATACTATGAATCTCTATACTTCCTATATTACTTCTACTCATTTTTTAAAAATTGAAGTATTTATTATTATGTTTAGGTGCTATTTCTTTAATTTAACATATTATATACTTGACTTTCATAGGGTTGGTTCCCCTCTAAGATTGATGATTATCAGTCATATTTCATGTTGAGAATCCCTTTCCACTTCTTGGTCACAGAGTATCTTGTCATAGGAGCTCCTAGCTGTGGCCACTAGGGAGAGAAGGAAAAGATACCTGGCTTCTGGGTTTTATGGTTTCTGGTTCCTGTCTTCCAGGTAGTTACCTGGGGAACTACCCTGATATTCTGAAGTCAGAGCTCCATGCATGAAACAACTACGTTTAAATTCCCATTTTGATTTTTATTTTTGCTGCAGGTTTTTCTTTTTAAATGGTTTAAATTTTGCTATCATTTTGTTCTCATTTGACTTGCATTTTTTAAGATCTACTGATGACATATTTCTTATCCTCCAGTGTTGTCATGAATTTTAAATTTTATTATTATTATTATTTTAGGTTTTTGCCATAGGGGACATGTGCTTGCTGGTGAGAAAAAGAGAGAGAGACACAGACAGGGAAAGTGAGAAATCACCCTTCAGTGGGGAGGTCACCTTGCATTTCCTTCTCCATTCTACCCTAGGCATTTTGGGCATGCACATACATGAACCCAGCATGCTTTTCAAGCCACCAGTTCCAGGATTCAAAGTGAAGAGTCTGCCATGTGGGATCCAGTGTCTTAACCACCATGCCACCTGCTGGCCCTAGTTATGAATTTATTATTTTGAAGTATTTTTTTCTATTATTTTAAGATATCTTGAAAGCGAGAGGAGGCAAACCCTGTGTTCAGTCTGTAATATTAGATCATACACAGAAGTGACAAGTTTGGGCTGGCCCCAAGGCCAGGGGTTAAGGGAGCTGGCTCCAACATGGATGACTGTGGTTTGAATCCTAACCCAGCAGTTTAAGGAATATGCTGGGTACATGTGATGCATGTCCAAAATCTCAACAGCATGGAGAAATGGAGAAAAAGGAATTGTGGTGTGATCATGCCTCAGCGGGGGTACTTTCTTCCTTTCCCCAACCCCTTGTTTCTTAATTTCTCTGGTAAGTGCATTTATCATACACACACACACACACACACACACGTTTATTTGCACACTGTTTCACATAGATGGCAATTTCCCTCTCTACTTTCTTTATTGGTCATTTTAAAGTGCCATTCTTTTTTTCAAGCAAGTTGTTCCTCTTCCCTGTTTCTTACCCAGATCCATCTGTCTTTTACTTTGTAGCAAGGAAGAGTATTTTACCTAGCATGTTCTTTTACCTGTGTGGATCCATCCAGCATATATTTGACAACCGTGCCTTGGCTGGTGATAACTCTCGATGCCTCCTGTTCCACTGGTGGCATCACTGTTTTATAGAACTCACAATGCTTTATCCTCTGGGGGTAGCTCTGACGAACCATGATGTTCCAGGTGGGTTCTTCATCTATAACATATTCACCTTAAAAAGAAAGAAGAAAGCTTTACTGTGAAGTGGGCAATGAGGTAGAGCTGGGGTTTGATCTTCTTGCTTAATTATTTTCATTCCTTTTTCTGCATCAGAACAATAACATGACAGACGGCCCAGAGTATTAGTTCTTTGCTCACCTTATTACAATCAAATGTAGTACAAGGTTACCTGCCAGCATAAAGTAGTTCCTTCTCCGTGTATAAGTCATTCTTAATAAGAAAGTCCAGGACATCTCTGGGAAAAATTACAAGGATGCAGGGTTTTGGTGTCTTAGATGCCTCCTCCTTTTTCTCATTGGTCCTTTCTTCTTCCCTTAGGGTGAATTCTCATACTGGATACACAATGGTGCTTGTCATCTGGTTTTCCAGAGACCCGGGTGAGTTACTCCCTCAGGTTGCCCTTTCCTAATTCATATATCATCTTCCAAATGTAACCTAATTTTTTCATCTCTATCTCAAACCAAGTTTCTCTCAGTATTCTGCTGTTTGCTAACAATCAAGGAGTAAGGCACCTAATAAGCTCCATTAGAAAGAAATTACTATAATGGAGGAATCCTGGCATACAGTACCTGCTCATTTTTTGCTAACTGAATAATTTCCTCTTAATTTGTAATGTGGTTCACTGGAGCCAAAATGCCTTCACACAAAGGAATTAGCATGTAACAATGGCATCCTAAAGATTATTTCAGGCTGGTGGGAAAATATTTTACAATGAATACATTCAGAGTACATTTCTAATCAAAGAAGTAATAATACAAGGGTCTCAAAAAGTTAATGGAAAATAGAATTGAAGTGTGAGTTTATATTGGTGCAAAACAACAATTGAAATCTATGCATGTTTTTATTTCATAATATACAGTTCTATGAACTTTTTGAAGACCTCATTACAATAAAACATTTATTAACTTTTTTCTTTATTAATGATAGAATATATGCATGCACATGTGAAATAGAGAAAGAGATGAGAAAGACAGAGAGAGAGAAACACCTCCCCCGCTCCCCGCCATAGTTCTGGTCATGCCATGATCCCTTTCTTCTAGTTCTCCAGCCTGACAGATCTTGGGCACTCACATACATGACTGGCATGTTTCAGGATGACTGGGCCAAGGATTCAAAGTGTGGTCATTCTGTGGGATCCAACTTCTCTTCCGCTGTGCATTACTGCTGCACTATGGAGTCCATCTGTTCTTGAGATAGTTCTGGACACTAAACGCTTTTTATACGCATCTTAGTATACCTCAACAACCCTTTAAAGTAGATGCTTTCATTTTCCAGATGAAGAAATGGAGGTTTAGGGGGCCAGCAGGTGGCATGGTAGGTGAGGTGCTGGACTCCCACATGGCTGACCACCACTCATATATCAGACCTGGCAGCTCGCTTTCTCTCTCTCTCTGTCTTTCTCTAGTTAAATGCAATAATAATAATAATAATAATAATAAATAATTCCAAAGTAAATAAATTTATTTAGAAAAATAAAAAGAAATGGAGGCCAGGAAAGGTTATATTTTCTTTTTAAAAATAATTATTTATTTAATTTTATTTATTCATTCATTTATTTTAATTTGACCAGAGAGAGATACACAGAAAGAGAGAGGGAAAGTGAGAAAGCAAGCCACCAGGTTCGGTACTCGAACTGCGGTCGGCCATGTGGGAGTGTCCAGCACCTTAATCACCATGCCACCTGCTGGTTCCCAGAAAGGTTATATTTTCTTTAAGGCCTTGTAGCCAGTAAGTGGCAAAGCTGAGATTTGAATCCTTTTGTTTTGTTTTTCTTTATTTCCTTTTAGTCGCCTGAAGATGTATGTGCTCACCAGAAAGAAACACAAAGACAGAGACGGGGAGAGAGAAAGCACACCCCAATGGAGTATGGTCACACTGCAATCTCTTCTTCATTTCTTCATTCTGTCAGGTGGGGCATGCACACACATGCAAGCTGCATGTTTTAAAGAGAGATTTTTGGTGTAGGGCGTGTATGTTTGCCAGAGAGACAGAGAGAAAGAAAGCGAAAAATCTCTTCTCTATTCTCCTCTTGGGATTTTGGGCACACATGCACACAAGCCCAGTGTGAGTTTCAAGCCTCCAGGTCCAGGACTCAAACCATGGTCAGCCATGTGAACATCTAGTGTTGTAACATTACACCATCTGCTGGTGCTGACCTGCATGTTTTTAAACTGCTGGGGCTGAGATCCCAATTGTGATCTCCCATTAGGCTCTGGCTCCCTAAACCACTAGGCTATAAGGGTTATCCCTTGAATCATTTTCTTTTAAACAAATTTTATGTTTTCTTATTTACATTTAACTGTACATTTTTTAGCATATGATTTTTCAATGCCTGCATACAGTGCATGATAATCAAGTCAAAGATATTACCATATATATTTTCAACAGAGAACTATATGTTCTCGCATCTGTTAAATATTTTTTCTCCGAGCTCCTCCCTGCCACCCTCTACAATCTACCTCCCTCCTACATAGTCTTTGGTATCTACTCTTGTCCTCCCACTAATATCTCTTAGAATCTTTCCATTTCTGCCATGGAGTGCAGGTATTCATTATATATCATATGGGGATATACAATATTTGCTCTTCTCAATCAATGGCCATGTTCCCCTGACTTGCCCTAACCTGTCTTGTCCTGATACAGCTGGGAGCTGAGCTGAAGAGTATGAGCCAGGGAGGCAGAATGTGAGGTAGCAGCTGCAGCACTTAGAATCCTTTTCTTTCTTTTTTCTTTTTTTGGAGAAGTTTTTGCTATAGGGCACATGCACTCACCAGAAAGACAGAGAGAGACAGAGAGACAGAAAATGAGAAATCACTCCCCAGGGTGGATGGCCACGTTGCAATCCCATCTCCTCCATTCTCCTCTCGGGATCTTGGGCACGCACGCACACATGCCCGACTTGAGTTTAAGCCTCTGCCGGGGACCAGCCTCGGCGTGGGTGGGTTATCTCGACGGAGGCGGCGAAGGTGAACTGCATGGCCCCGTCAAGCCTCCAGGTCTGGGACTCGAACCACAGTAGACTACATGGGAGTCCTGCGACATAGCCATTACGCTAACTGCTGGTCCCCAGAATCATTTTCTTATCCTATAAAAATAACCACATTATGAAAATCTTCTCTAACCAAACACACACACACAACATAAAGAAATCACTATCATTTGAACATTGTCTTTTTCTTTTTCTTTTCTTTTTTTTTTTTAAGAGAGATTTTTGCTATTGGGCAGGTGCACTCACCAGAGAAATAGAAAGCAAGAAATTTCCTCCCAGGGGGGATGGTATGGGCATGCTACAATCCTTTCTCCTCCATTCTCCTCTTGGGATCTTGGGCACGCATGCCCACACACCCCGTGTGAGTTTTAAGTTGCTGGGTCCAGGACTTGAATTGTGATTGCCTACATGGGAGTCCAGTGATATAATTATTATGCCACTTGCTGGTCCCTGAACAATATATTCTAAGTTAGCAAGTATTTTTCATTTAATTCCAAAGAATTCAAATCTAGGCTTTTTTTTTTTTTTCCTTATGCCATGGTAACCTTTTCTCTCCTGTCGAAGCCTTACTCTAATGAAGATACTATTACTTTGGTATTTATGCTGTAATTTTGTTCAGAATTGAGTTAAAATATTCATAACATATTAAAAATATGGTGCAGCAGATGACATGGTAGTTAAGGTGCTGGATTCTTCACACATGGCTAACCATGGTTTGAGTCCCAGAACCAGCAACTTGAAAATCACACTATGTGTATGTACATGCATGCCCAAAATCCCAGAAGGAGAATGGAGAATGAATTGCAGTATGACCATACCCTCTGGGGGATGATTTCTCACTTTCTGTCTGTTTCTCTCCAGGGAGCTCATACACCTTATGGGAACACTCCACCCCCCATATATATTTATTTATAATTTGCCAGAAGGAGTGTGTACTCTCCAAAGAGAGACATAAAGTTGGGGTTGGAGGAAGGAGAAAACACCCCTCATGGGGTATGGGCATGCTGTTCCTTTTCTTCCACTTCTCCCTCCTTTTGGGATTTTTGTCATACACTCACATACACATATGCCTAATATGTTTTCCAAGACACTGGGTCAGGGACTTGAACTGCATGGCTGGTCATGTGGGATCCAGTTTTCCTTACCATCAGTCCATGGGCTGGTCCATGTATGAAAGATTTTTAAAAAGATGATGTGTAGAGTTACTATTAACCACATTATCTGCCCTGATATAAAAATAAATATGTCAGAGTAGATAATGAAATTAATAGAATAGACAGATGAAAGAGGTTTGAAGATAAGATCAAGCAAATAAGCAAACAAACAAATATATCCTTGAGCTTCAACACGCCATCCCTTTCAATACACTCATAGCATCTTAGACTCTGGAAAATGTTTATTGACCATCTAACACAGGGGGTCCCATCATGGACAATCTGAACTACTAGGGATCCTTTGAAGTATATGAGGGGTCCATGGTCTACTGTTAATAACCCAGAAAGCCTAATGAAAAACAAAATTAAGACAAAATAGACTAACTACAACATGTGGTTTCCTTTTTTTTCCTTCATTTTTTTTTTGCTGATAAATAAATAAAATATTGAATTATTTTAACATTGGCATAGTCTTTTCTTTATTGCCATTTAAGGTTTTAGCCAAAGGGTGTGTGTACTCACTGGAGAGAGATGGAAAGAGATAGTGAGAGGGAAAATGAGAACTTACGCCCTATGGGGGATGGCCACACTACAATCCCTTCTCCTTTATTCTCCTGGGATTTTGTGCATGCAAGCACACATGCCCAGTATGATCTTCAAGCCACCAGGTTTGGGACTTAAACTGTAGTTGGCCATGTGGGAGTCCAGCACCTTCAACTACTGTGCCACCTGCTGGCTTCAATACAGGCATAGCCTTTTCCCTTTGAAAGATGTTCTTTTCAAATGTGGTGTACATAAAGAAATTATAATAAAGAGGATATAAATATATATAGATATAGAAACATTAAGATCTACTAACATAGTCTTAACATTCATCAGGTGAGGAAACAGTTCAGACACAGCCAGCAACTTACAAGGGCCATGTGGTTAGTTATGCCAAGACCAGCTTTAGAACTAAGCCCTGGTTTGGTGCTGCCTTTGTTGCATCTCCCACTACAATAATGGAGCACCATTTAAATCATGGTTAAATTCAATCACTAATGAGGATACCTATTAGCTTAAAGAAGTCCTATTGTACTTATTTATTCATCTGAAAAGATCAGAAGCCAAGAACAAAGCCAACAAAAACATTACAGACTCTGTAAAGTCATATAGTAATACCTGGGAATGAAGACTGATTTATCCTTTTACCTGTACTTCTGTTTGTCTACTTGGCACTCAGTGTTCTTTCTTGTAGTTGGCCCAGAAAAGTACTGTACTTGTGGGCCTCTGTAGAGGCAGGAAGGGAGACCACCCAGGAGTTGTTAAGAGTACTGAATTATCATCTCTTTATCAATAATGGTATTTTGGCTCTGGCTCTTAGGACTAGATGATCTTGGGCAAGTTACTCAACCTTCTTCAGACTCAATTTCTTTATTTTGTAAAATGGAGTTATTGGTACCTGGTTCATAATATTTGTATTTTGTCATTTATGTGAAATACTTACTGCCTGACCATGGTAAATGTTCAAAAAATGGTCATTATTACTATTGTCATTATTTGAAAGTAGCCTATTGTTTATTATCAACAAGAAGGTATGTTTAACTAGTAGGAAAATACCCAAATTCCAAGGATGACTTCACCATTTTCTGTATGACTTTTTCCCCCCCCGCTTTCCCATGCTACTCCTGCTAGTACTCACCTGTATTCTCTTGCCCAATGAAGGTCAAGTGGAGCCCATTGGGACAAGACACATTCAGGCTTTGAAAGGTGGGAACATTCACAGTCTCTTGTACAACTACTTCTGGTTCTACTTCTTCCTGTAAATAATTTAGTATGTCAATAATTCCTTGCCATTTTCTAAGTTATTTATTATAATTAATAAATTAACTAAAATTGTTAAAGTTTTGATGAGACTTGAGTACAGCCTGCAATACAGCCTGAAAGGAATGCATGCATCTCTGCTTTGCAGTTTATGTTCTACTTATAGAACAGCACTGGACAGGTGAGACAATGAAATGATTGTAGCAAATAGGTGGCATTTTTTTTTTTAAGAAAGATATCAAAGTTAATAAGAATAATTGAGAAAGGATTCATGGAAGAATTAGGGCTTAAAGTAGACTTTGAATGATGCCTCTGTTTGGATATTTAGGTGGAAGGGCAGCGCTACAGTTTGAATATTGGTGTTCCTCAGAATTCCTATGTTGAAACTTAATACTCAGAGTGATCGTATTAAGAGGTAGGGTTTTGGGGAAGTGATTAGGTCATGAGGGCAGCACTCTCATGAATGAGATTGGTGTCCTTATAAAAGACATTGAAGAGCTGTTTGCCCCTTCTGCCATATGACGACACACAGAGGGTACCATCTATGGATAACAGGCCCTCACTAGACATCAAATCTGTTTTTGCCCTTATCTTCAACTTCCCAGCTTCTAGAATTGTGAGCAATAAGTTTCTATTGTTTATGAATCATCCACTCAAAGGAGTATATATTTTTTAGAGTTTTTTTTTGCCTTAGGGTGTGTGTGCTCAGGGGGAGAGAGAGAGAGGGAGGGAGTGAGGGAGGGGGGGGAGAGAGAGAGAGAGAATGAGAATGAAAAATCATCTATCTCCCGGGGGGATGGCTACACCATAATCTCTTTTCCTCTTGGGCACACATGCTTGTGAGCCTAGTGTGATTTTCAAGTCACTGGGTCCAGGACTCGAATTGTGGTTGGTTATGTGGGAGTTCAGTGAAGTAACTGCTATACCACCTGCTGGCCCCTGTATTCCCCACCCCCCCCCGCCCCATAGGACACATGAGACTGCCAGAGAGAGACAGAGAAACTGTGAGAGGGTAAATAAAAAGTTACCCCCCAGGGGGGATAGCCATGCCTCTGTCCCTTCTCCTCCGTTCTTCTCCTGGGATTTTGGACATGCATACATTTGTGCCTGGTGTGATCTTCAAGCTTCTGGATCCAGGACTCAAACCATGTTTGGTTCATGTGAGAGTTCTGCTGGGCCCATAAGGTGTTTTGTTATAATCCCCCAAACAAAGATAGGCAGAGTATATAGTAAACCAAGATCTCCACTGCCTTGTTTTGTTTAATGTGTGCAGTCTGGATGTTAGAGACATCACACTATTAGGATATTTATCTTTATTTTCCTATAATGAGCATGTGTTGCTTTTGTAAGCAAGTAAAGTCAATAAAAGAAAATAAAGAACAATATTATAAATCAATGAGTATTTGGGTGTGCATACTTTAAAATCATAATTTTACGCCAGCTACGCCTGAATCCTTTGATTGGTTCTTGGTACTCAAGAATCAAAGTTACTTGATAACTTCCAAATAATTGCTAATGATGATCATTTCTGCTTTTTCAACTGGTTCTCTTTTGTTAGACACAAAAATCATTCCAACTTTTTTGCCCTGTTGATGGATTTTTGGTTTATTCTAGCTCATTTTGTATTCTTGATTATTTATGTTGCCCGGCTTTTTTCTTGTCACTAATGGAGGAAAAATGTGAATAATTAGCTAAAAGTAAATTAAAAGCACAAAGCAAAATTAAGAGAAGTGGGTTGTCCTTCTTCATTGGAAAAATGCTTGCACATGGATGTTTATTGAGGCACTATTTACGATTGCTAAGTCATGGAACCAACCCAAATGCCCCCGTATGGAGGAATAGATTGAAAAACTGTGGCACATATACTCTATGGAATACTACTCAGCCATAAAAACCAACAAAACCCTGGCTTTTGACAGAAAGTGGAAGAATATGGAAGATTTACTGCTGAGTGAGGCAAGCCAGGCTATAAAGGAGAGACATTGTATGCCCCCACTTAACATATACCGAGTGTCTGCACTTTATGACTGAAACTGATTGACTAACGGCTGTACAAACACAAGAGATGGGTGTGACTGTCAGATGAGATGTATGTGGAGGAGGGGGGTCTAATGAAGGACATTTGGAGAAGGGATATGGAGGTAGAGCATTGACGGGATGGGGAGGTGTGGTGTTATCGGTTGAAGATATTTTGATCAACCGGACTGGGGAGAAATGTTCACGTATTGAAATGCTCACATTGTAAGCTAAACAATGTGATTGAATGTATATACAAAAATAAATAAATAAATTTTAAAAAAAGAAGTGGGTTGTCCTTTAATGTTAATAGACTCTTAGCACATCTTAGTTACAGATCTTTGTCTTCCAATTATTTATTTCAGTGGAACGACATAAAGTATTAAAATAGGGAAGGTGCCAGATGGTGGCACAGCAGTAAAATCATCATCTCTCTTTGTGAGGCTGACCTGTAAAGGAAGGGTGCCAGTTGGTGCCTGAGGAACTCCCAGGGTACACCAGGAGTGTGTTCTTAATATCCAGGTTGGTTGAAACTGAGGGTTGGAACATGTCATCAAGACACTGTTAAGGTTCTCTCTCTCTCACAGAATAAAGAATTTTGTTGTTGTTTTTAATAAGGAATGGGAGGAAAGTGACCAACCAGAAGTCAAAAAGAAAAAAAAAAAGAAAGAAAGAAAGAAAGAAACACAAAAACAAACAACAACAACAAACCCCCCCTAAAACTAGGGTAGGAGAAGGTCAAAGTAGTTCTGAGCTCAGAATGAATGACCTGAGACAAACTGTGTCTGTCTCCTGGAGTGGGAGTCCAATTTCTGTGAACAAATCCTTCTTGTTCATTTAAAATGGAAACTATAAAGAATACTAGTGCATCTGTACAATAAAAAATATACACTATACTTTTGATATAAATCATGCTTTTTAAAAAGTAAATATTGAGGCAGAAACAGAGTTTTGGAATCTGCATCAAGGTTTATTTACCTTCTTCTCTTCTTCTTTTGGATGCTCCTCTTCTTTAAGGGATTCTTTGGGTTTTTCTTTGCCTTTTGTTTTCCCCTTTCCTTTTCCTTGAGAAACAGGCACTACAACAGGAATCACTGTTGCAGTAAGTGCTGAAGGGATAGTCAACATTGTTTCCAAGACAGGATCTTTCTCTTCTATAAATCCAAAAAGGGAAAAATAAGGAAATCCAACATTCATATTTGATATGCTTATTAAATATCATTTACCTTACAATTTATATAAGTTGGCAACAATTTTTACCTTGCTAAATATGATTTATCAGTTGGATATATTTCATGAGGAATATAGTTGATTTTGAAAATCAGGATTATAGTTTAAAATTTCAGGTACTTAAAACTTTGATAGGTTTGATGATGTAATCATTTCACATGTTCTTACCTTCTTATCTACACTGTAAAATCCTAATAACAGAGAAGTAACCAACCCTTGATCTACTTGAGAAATATTTGTGAGGCTCTTCATATATAAAATATTTGGTGCAACAAAAAATAATAAAAAGGGCCAGCCCAGTAGCACAGTGGTTAATCCTTGCATGTAAAGCTCGATCCCAAGTGACCAACTAGGTTCAAATCCAGGACCTGGAGGCTTGAATATATGCCAGATGCATGTGTGCATGTCTAAAATCCTGATGGGATGGAGAAATGGAGGAAAAAGGATTATAATGGGACCACATTCCATGAGGTGGAAGGATGTTCTCTCTCTGGTAAGCATCTGACAATATTCCCCCAAATTAAAATATATAATAATGAAAAAATTATAAAAGTCCTTATGGAGTCAAATAGTTTTAATAGTATCTGTATTTATATAACTCAGTATGAGGACATGATAAGTAGAAATGTAATGAATGGTACAAACAAGGAAATTCAGGGTGGAAATATATTGGTTCTGGTTGAGATGATGAAATAAATTTTCTTGTAGATTAATTTTCTTCTGGGTTTTAAATAATTGACAGAATTTTAGAAAGAGATCTGGTGGGGGGGGGAGGGATTACTGGGGAGCTTCAGAATATTCTTTTCCTCCGGAGTTGTATTTTTTTCTGGGTTCCAGACCTCTACTCACTGGATCTCCTACCTTTCTGATCGATCTTTTTCTCAGTCTAGTTTTCTGACCCTTATTCTTTTGTCAATCCCTTAACTGTTTGCAGGTCAGGGTTTATTATATCCTCAACCATAGCTGCCTATAATAATTATTCATGGAATTAAAAAAAAATAGTAGTGTTCAGGTTTCACTTTGGTCTACTGATTCAGATTCACTGGAGAAGAGGCCCAGACATTTATATGTGTGAAACACTTCACAAAACACTTCATAAAACACATAGTCAAGGATGACTACTTTACTGTAGATATTAAAATGGATGATCTCATTTGCTAGTGATACTCTAGCTATCAACTACATGCTAATGACTCCAAAATTTACATCCCAAGCCATGCCCTCCTCCCCTCCTTTTCAGTTCCAGATCTATGTTTCCAAATGTGTTAGAGACACTTTAAACTCAATTGAATCGCTCTTCTCCCAAGAGGGTTAACTCTCCTATGTTAATATCGTTAACCATTCTTCTCAATCTAATTAATGCCATGACCAGATTTGTACCGTTTCCTAAGACAGACATTTAGACCATTCACATTTTCTCTTTTTGACTCATGCTGCACCTCCAACCAGTCACCAAGCCCTTAGAACTTTCTCCTCAATCAAACCTCTTATCTATTTCTATTATCTTAACTCAGGGTCCCATTATCACTTGCTAGGTCTTTTGTTGGAGTTTCCTAACTGATATCATGGGACCTCCAATGCTACCACTTCAATGATCTTTCTGAATGTCACTAGAATTAAGTTCCTAAAGTAAAGTGCGGTCATGTCACTTCCCTTACTGAAAACCTCTGCATTCATTTTCCATGTAGGACATATAAGACTCTACAATCTGGTCCTCACATGTCTCTACTACAGCCATGCAGAACTTTTCACCTTTCTGTAAAGATGTCATACTTTTACGTAACTGTGTGTTTAATACAAATAGTTCTGCTCTCTAGATCCTCTTTCCTGTTTTCTGTCAGGATAGTCTCTATCCATTTCAAAAGTTTTATCTCAATTGCTACAATTTCTAAGAATGTATTTGTTCCCAGTATTCTGTTTACATATAACTTTTGTGTATTATGATAGTAGAATGGTATACTACTCTAAGTAAGAAAGTACAGAGTCGTATTCAAACTTGATTGGATTTCTTTATGGTTTTGCCTATTCTGGAGCAGTTCATTTCTTATCCAAAGGGTACTAAACTATCTTTAGCTGTTTATACACAACTAAAGTGGGAGAAATGGACTGGAAATTTGCTTAGCCATTAGTAGATAAAAGTTCTTAAATAGTAGCATTATATGCATCTTCAAAATTTATAATATGTATTATTTTTACAAAAGACATGCCTTCAGCTTTTTTTAATACACAAAAGGCAACACATTACTTATCATCTACACTATAAATATTTTCAAATGTAGGGCTCACAATTTGAAATTAGGAACATTTGTTTTAAATGGAATGACTGTACATACTTTAGGATTAAATCAAGAATATGAAATCACTTAAGAAATAAGGGCAACATAGTTAATTTAGAGCAGGGAATAAATATTTTAATCCCAAACATAAGTTCAGAAAAAGTAGAATTTACTAATGAGTGCATGGTAATAATAAATTTTAATACATAATTTGTTAGGCATTAAAAAACTTCTCCAATTACTGGTTTAAAAACAAATCAATTAGGGAACCAGCAGTTAGCATAATGGCTATGTTGCTGGACTCCCACGTAGTCGACCGCGGTTCGAGTCCCACATCCGGTGGCTTAAACTCACGCCAGGCGCGTGTGTGTGCGTGCTCAAGATCCCGAGAGGAGAATGGAGGAGAAGGGATTGCAGTGTGGCTATCCCCTCTGGAGGGTTGATTTCTCGCTTTCTATCTCTCTGTCTCTGTCTATGTGGCGAGCGCACATGCCCTATAGCGAAAACCTCTCAAAAAAACCCCCCAAAAACAAAAAACAAATCAATTACAAAATTAAAAGACAAAATATTGAATAAAGCAAAAATACCAACAAACCCAATGCACTCTCTAACTCACTAGATCTTCAATATTTGGTAAAAGATAAGAAACAAGATTACTATCCATATGAATCTGTTTCTGCAGAAAAGGAACTACTTAACAAGGTGGATAATTAGATTATCAATACCTACACTAACACATAGTTTTAGGGCTCTATGACAGAGAGATTACCTTTTGATTTTATAATGCTTTTTAAAATATATTGTCATTAGATCCCTCTAAGATACAGAGGGAACCAACATTTCCCAAGTAGTTCTTGGTAAACTGACATACTATTTTGTGGTCTATAAGAAATAGCTTCTAGAATTTGTTTATTGAAAGTGGGTGAATCTGTTTATCCTTCAAGATATCCAATATCCTAAAGATTAATGTCCTAAAGTACACTGAGCAGTTCCACAATCATAGGATTCATAAGAACATTATTCTACAGGAAATCAAGAGCATATCTTGAGCAGTCATGGTTTTTTGGGGGAGCATTGATTCTCAGGCTCATCGGCATTAGTTAACAGAGATAATTGGAGTGTGTGTGTGGGTAAACACATCAGACCTAACACGTACTTGTGGTTATATTAAAGATCATATAAGTAGTAAATGATGTTCAGTATATCAACGCATTTTTGTTTGGTATGTATGAAAGATTACATATGCACATATATACACACATATGTACATAAATATGTATATGTGTACACATCTCATATTCCTCCTTTGTAGAAAAAACTACAAAGGGCATTTAATCAGAACATTTTACTGACAATGAGCAGACTGGCCACGGAGCACACTTATTTCACCTGGAGCCATTCCACTCGATCCGTAATAACTTATTGAGAGGCAGATTCCATTTTCTAAGGTGGCAGAGAAAGATCCAAACTTACTGACAGCTTTATTCTCTGCAGAGGATACTTCTAAAAGAGAAAATCAAATCAGAGATGATTTTATTTAAGATAAATATAAGCAAAAATTTCAGAAAGGCTGAAAATGGAGGTCTTAGCTGGTCTACCAAATCAACTTAAAAATAATTGGTTTATGAGTCAGCATGTGGCATGAAGCTTAAGGCACCTGGATTCCATATGGTCGACTACAGTTCAAGTTCCAGACCCAGTGGCTTGAAAATCACACCAAGCACATGTTTATGCATGCCCAAAATCTCAAGAGGAAAATGGAGGAGAAGGGACTACAGTGTAGCCATTTTGCCTAGGGGGTGATTTCTCACTTTCCCTCTCACTGTCTCTCTCTCTGATAAGTGCATATAGTGAAAACCTAAAAAGAAAAAAAAATTAGTTTAGTCACAACCAGGTACTCAGGGCTGTTTGGAGTAGGGTGGAATTACAAAGATGAGAATGTGAAACTTTAGTTTTAAGGGCGTTAGGTTAAGAGTGAAGAGAGAAAATAAATTCTTTGATAGCATAGTCATATGCAGATTACCCATCTAATAGATTATCCACATAACAGTTAAAATGAAAATCAGCAGTGACTCAGCCGGTGGTGTGGTGGTTCAAGCGGCTAGATTCCACATGGCTGACTTTGTAATTTGAGTCCTCAACCTGGAGGCGTGGAACTCATGCCAGGCGTGTGTATGTGCATGCCCAAAATCCCATGAGGAGAATGGAGAAGGGATTGTTGCCATGCCTCGGAGGATACTTTCTCGTTTTTTTCTCTCTGTCTGTTTCCCTTTAGTAAACTCATATGCCCTACAGCAAAAAAACAAACAAAATGAAACAAACAAAAAGCAAACAAATGAACTTCATCCATTTGGTTTCAATTTCCTCTCATTTTATAATATTTTCTTAAATACCCACATTCAAAATTATTACACATAAAAACACATTTTAAATTGTTTCATCATAATTATAAAGCAAAATCTGTTATGGTACACATTTTTAAGACCTATGTGAAGACTGTAAATTTTCTGTTCTGTCTCATTCGACAAAAAGCAGTTAATTTCCGCAGGTGGTGTTTCCTGGAAAGGATCAATGGTGTCATCAGGAGGTTTCATGGTGTATAATTAATAGACACTCACTTGCAGCTTTCATCTTCAGGCATACAAGGGATCTTACAGCCACATTTATATTTCCCTTTTCTTTGCAACCTAAGAAATCTGGTACTACAGAGAAAAATGAAATGATAGACCACGGGAAGAAACCTCATCGTATGCAGTGAATATTGGAGAAAAGCAAAAGTTTCAGTAAGAATCAATTAATGGGGATGGGAGTCCTAGAGATCGCATTTGGTACAAGTGGCTTGAACCAAAATGAAGAACAGAAGGGAATCACAAACTCAGTGTTGCTATAATACATAAAGGTAGTCCACCTGGGCAGACTCTATGACAGCTGGAATCAAGAGCTGGATGCCCAGAGGGAGCAAAGCCAAGTAGCAGCCCATTATGGATAGATATACACTTTACATTCAGAAAATGTACAGAAGCACGATGGCCAAACACCTCCATTTCCATCCAGAAACCTTCTGTGTGCTAAGTGCAAGGGATACACACATGTGTATCAGGATGGGTTTGGCACATTGTTTAATCGTCACTGCCACAACGATGCAGCTACCTACCTGTTTCAAGATTTGGTTCCACATTTTTTTCTTCTTTTTCTTCCGAAGAACAGTCCTCTTCATCCTCCTTTTTTATAATTTCTACAGGGTCTTTTAAATGAATCATAAAATTGTGTTTGTCCTTTTTCACTTTCACTTTGATAAAAGTTGAGCCTGAGGAAGAACCATGGGATAGAAAATGGGCTAGCTAGGATGCCTCATTAAACTTCTTGACAAGATGTTTAAATACACCATAGAATTTAAACCAGGGAGTGAAAAGTACCTAGGAAATATCAACATCTCTATAAATGGATGCCTAAAGGAATAAAATGTTGGTAGAATTCCAGGAGAAAACAGCAGGTGGATCAAGGAGGCATCTATAGGCCTTCTAATCACATCTCAATCTAAATTGCAGAGGAGAAAATAAATGGTCTAAGGCAGTGTACACCGATGACTAACTTTATGATGCATCAAATGAGACAATTCATGTGGAAGGGTTTTATAACTTATAAAAATGGTATGTGTTATGATAACTATTACTATTATAGAAATTTTAAGAATTTTCCCTGTAGTCCATTTTCTCTTTTTGTGTTCTGACTTCTCTTTTCTTCTCCATTTTTAATATCCAGTTTTTTCCAACTTCGATTGAGTTATTATCTCTCAAAATTGATAGGATTCGGATGAAGATATTATTAGGTCAATGGAAAAGTCATTACATATTCTCTGTTTTCCTATGCAAAAATGTATCATGACTCTTCTGACTACTCAATATATTTACTATGACCCGTACAAAATTTACACACATTATACGCAAATAATTTATTTTTTGGAGGTTTGCTATAAGGTACGTATGCTCACCAGAGAGAAAGAGAGAGATAAAGAGAGAAAAAGTGAGAAATCACCCCCTAGGGGTGTGGCTTGCCACAATCCTTTCTCCTTCATTCTCCTTTCAGGATTTTGGGGATGCACACACATGTGCCTGGCATGATTTTCAAGCTGCCAGGTCCAGGACTTAAAACACACAGTCGGTCATGTGGGACCCAGCCACCTTAACCTTCATGCCATCTGCTGATCCATGAAAATTTTCATAAGAGTTAAATTAACTGGATATTGGCAGCAGGACTCCAAGCTCCGTGCTTGAGCCTAGGTCAGAAACAAGTTATAAATTTACAGTACGTGCTTAGTTTCTGAGATAACAGTACCTGTTGCAATTAATATCATTATTTGCTTATTATGGTTACTATTATAGGTTGAGCATCCTTATCCAAAAATCTGAAGTCAGAAGCACTCCAAAATCAGAAACTTTTTGATTGCCAACATGACACTGCAGTAGAAAATTTCACACTTGATCTCATGTGACAGATTACAGTAAAAGCGCAAATGTACAACCCATAGTTTATTTAGTGTCCCCAAGAAGAAATAAGACCCTCCCAACCCCTTCTCCTATGATATATCTTTTCCAAAGAAAGATTTCCCAAAAAAAAACCTACACAAGGATACAAAGGGTTTAATGTGAAAAATCACTGTAAATACTACATAAAATTACCTTCAGCCTAGTGTGTAAGCTGGATAAATAAGTAAATTTCATGTTTGCATATATGCAAATACTCCAAACTCTTAAAAATTTCAAATCTGATGGGGTTAGGTGGCGTGGTGGTTGAGATGCTGGACTCCCACATGGCCGACCACAGTTCAAGTCCTGAACCTGGCAGCTTGCTCTCCCTTTCTCTTTGTCTGTCTGTCTCTGGTCAAAATTGAGGAATAATGATAATAAATAAAATTAAAAAATAAATTAAAGAATTCAAATCTGAAGTATTTCTGGTCCCGGACATTTTGGATAAGGCCCCATGCATTTTAGATAAGGGATTGTGCACTATTTACCAATCTATGGAAGTATTTAAATATTACAATAAATGGAATGGTCATTTCGGTGTGTCCTAGCTAAACTCTTGGTTGGTTTATGTGTTGCAGAGTCAAGTATAGTAGAAGAATGGAACCTACATGGCCTAATCCTGACCCTGGTGGCTTACAGAACATACCAGACACATGTGTATGTATGCCCCAAATCCCAACAGGATGGAGAAATGGAGAAGGGTTTGAGGCTTGACCATGCCTTATTGAGGACTGCTGTCTTCCTCTCCTCTTCCTGTGTCTTTCTGTTGCTCTCTGGCGAGCACAGGTGCTCTCTGGCTGTTATAACTAGCAAGTATGCGAAGTCTGAAAATGCTTAATGTGACATGTAAATGAATTACAGTGACTGAATCAACACTCTCATCAATCACACTATGTGCAAGGCCCCATGATTATCTGAAATGCATCACCAACTTTCAGGCCATTAATCAGCTGTTTTCAAAATGTACCTTTTTTGAATGTTGTCTTTTCTACTTCGATCTGTCCTCCATCAGAAGGATACAGATAGTAATTTGTCCCTGAGATTTGGATGGGTATATCTCCCATATTGTATCCTCGAAACTAGAAAAGAAAACGTCAAGCTTTGAGTATACCACTGCAACTGACAAAAATCAACTTAACAGTGTTAGCCAATTAAAGTTGCCATAAGCTTAATTTCCGCTAAATGATATGTCTGACACTTTGTAGACTTGGAGACTCATGTCATATTATCTTTAGGACCTGTGATGTTACAACGGCAGCAGAATTAAAGGTCTGTGATTTTAAACTGTGTTCACTGGAACATCCTCATAACCCGGTCTAAATCAAATCATTGCTATTATTGCCAAGGCGGCGTGAGAAGAAAACAAGTTCTCAGCCACTGGCTGCTGATTTTCTGTTTAGAGTGAATTGATATAGAGGAGCAGCAAGACACATTTTACCAAATGTTGCTATATATAGAACTCGAGGTGATTCTGGTGTTTACCGAAACAGGAGAAGAGTTGGTTTAGAGTAGTAGCTGCAAAGGAAAGGAAGCTGTTATCTTTCTTTTCATTCCCCCTGTCCCCCCACCCCCTCACACACACACTAGGTTTCCCCCAAAATAGCAACCTGTGGGTGAACTGGCAAAGGCGAGTTTTATGAAAGCATAAAAGCCGCAAACATAGGTGTCTACAGACAGGCAACCGAATGGACTCAAGTCCTACCACCTGAGACAGATGAAGCCAGCTTTTGTGTTGACCTATCACAGCTGCTTATTTACAAATTCCTGAATTAATACTTTTGTATCAAATTCCTATCTTTACTGCTTTGGTAAACTGGGTTACCTGGTACTCAAAAACTGGCCTGAAGCTGTTCCTAGCTTAGTCATTGACTACAAAGAAGATTCTAGGTGTCGCAGGATGGAATCCAGGTTTGTGCTCATTGATACCAAAAGAAACCCCAAGGCTTTCTGTGATAGAAGTGAAGATAAGGGGACCCATGTTTCACAGAAGCCATGTTTCCCCCAAACAATTAGGAATAGCCCAAAGGAGCATTAGGGAATTGCTTTTACCGGGTAAACTCTTTCAGGTTCCGATTGCTGGAGGGGCTCCTCTGTTCCTTCTGAGATCTTAATTTGTTCTTCTTTAACTTTATCCCTCAAAGAAGCTTTTTTCCTCGGAACCCTAATTTCTTCTTTTTCTACCTTCTCCTTGCCTTTCTTTTTGCCAGCTTCTTTACTCTTCTTTTCTGCTTTCTTTTCTTCTCTTAAGCGTTCCTCTTCTGCTAAGCGATCTTGTTCTTCTTTCCATGCCTGTAAACACATTTTAAAAAATTATTTTTGTAATTTAAAATTTTATTTCTTTATTACTTTTAAAATATTTTTATTACATTTAGTCACTGTACATCTTCACAGCATACAAAATAAATTTTCCTAGCGTGAATACTGTATATTAGTCCAAAGATAATACTAAACACATTAACAATGGATAATTTTCCATTTTTGTGTCCATTAAATGTTTTACCCTTTTTACCCCCTTGATTCCCTCCTGCCCCGAACTCCATTCTTTTCACAGATTTTTTTTATCTTGTCCGTAAGGTGCCTTCACTGTGGCTGCGTACCTAGCATCTTCCCAGTGACAGAGGTGTTGGGAATGTCATAGTTGATACTTTGTCCTAATCTCTATTTACATCTGACTTAAAGTTCACTTCCAGCATTATCCTATTTAAAACATTTAACTGAATTTTGAAACAAATTACATGTGGGTACAATTTTTGTTTAGTTTGGAGACTACTGAACTGATTTTTGTATTGGATGATTGGAAAAGTCATGACGCATTTTTGCATAGAAAAATATGTCATGACTTTTCTGACGACCCAATAAACAGTATCTCTAACAAATCAAAATACTGAGCTAGAAAGGCAGGGGTCAACCTCGATTCTCTTTCTCTCATTAACTTCTGTACACTAAAGTTTGCCAATTCTCCTCAGAGATCTCTCTTCACATCAGCTTCATCTCTCACCCTCTGTTGTGATTTCCTTACCTCTAATCTTTATTGTCTTTGGCGTGAACTATTGCAGCCTCTTAGCTTGTCTGCTAGTTTCCTATCCTTATGTACATCAATCTAATCCTTAATTTAGGTCCTAAATGTGACCTATCAGCAATGGAGTAGACAAAGTGCTCAGAAAAGCATTCCTGACACACAATGTTTTAAAATGATAAAGTATAAAACCAACATTATACAGTAATACATAGCAGGGCTTACAGACTAGTAATGGGTGTGGGAAGCACTACTCCAGTGATGTATGTGAGCACTAGAGACAATTTCCCACGGTATCTATCATCTCTGACAGCCTAGAACTTGAAGCTTAAGGGATTATGGGGAATGGAGACAAAGACCCAAGAGATCAGATTATAGACCTCTGAATAAAGCTGATATTTTGAAGAAATCAGACACCTGTACAAACCTCTGCTAAAGGAATTTGTAGAGGAAATACTTTAGAATGTAAGGTGTAAGAAATGCTCAATAAATGGTATGCATGGGGCTAAATCTAAACAACACTGAGTATATGAAACTATTACAACAATAATATCTAATTTATGGGAATAAGAAAAATAAAGATAAAAATGTAAACATAAATTTAAATCATTTAAATTCCTTGTATTTATCACAAAGCAAGAAATATTTTATTAAGATTAGATTTCACTAAATTATATTCGCATGAATTTCTAGAGTTGCTACTAGCAGAATGGAAAGCATATAAATATATATATATATATATATATACACACACACATATAATATTCATGTGTACATACATACATACACATACATATATACTGCATTGTATAATATATATTATTAATTATATATAATAACATTTATATATTAAAGGGCCTAATAGTAAATATTTTAGGCTTCTGGCGGTGTGCTACGGCATGGTGTTTCCAAGTCAGTGGTCAGTGTGGCCACATTGTAGTTTGAAAGTGGTCATATGAGAGTATTTACCCTACAGGTAGCAGCAAATGCTACAAACCGGGGATCGACTGATTGGTTACCTAGACTGAAAAAGTGGTGGAAAAGATAATAATATAGATTAAACGTAAAAGTGCGTTGGGGCCGGCCAGCAGTTGGCATAGTGGTTATGGCTCTGGACTCCTACATGGTATGGCTCTGGACTCCTACATGTTCAACTGTGGTTCAAGTCACAGACCTGGTGACTTGAAAATCATGCTGAGTGCATGCCAAAAATCCCAGGAGTAGAATGGAGGAGAAGGAATTGTGGCATGGCCATCCCCCACCTGGGGGGGATTTCTCACTTTCCCTCTCACTGTCTCTCTCTGTTTCTCTCCAGCAAGTGCATGTGCCCTATGGCAAAACCTTTAAAAAAATAGAATCTCTTTTTATGTGGAGAGAATAATATTTTACTTATTCAGACTAAAAATCAGAATTCCTTATCATCAAATTGATTGCAAATGAAAAGAGAAAAACGAACTACAAAAGAAAGCAAAAATAAGAGGAAAAGGATGAAATTCCAAATATATCAATAATCTGAATAAATAGAGATGGATTCAGCTTTCCTGCTAGAAGACAAAGTTCATCAGAAAATATTTTTTAAAAATTTAGCTTTTAGTCCTTGTTTATAAGAGATACTCTTAAAATAGAGTTTCATGTCTCTTGTGAGTGGTATTTGTTTTCTATTACATTTTCTTTTTTTAAAATTTTACTATTATCATAATCTTGTTTATATTACATTGAATCACATATAACTTTATAGTGTATTATATTTATTTTTCCAGAAGGAATTCTATACATTTTCTAATTGGTTATAGATGGCAAAGAGAAACTCCAGTGATGTTTTCCATGTTGATCTTCTAATACAACTTGACTTCCACAATACTTTTTTTTTTTTTTTTTGAGATTTTTGCTATAGGGTATGTGCTCTAGCCAGACAGACAGAGAGAGACAGAGAGACAGAGAGTGAGAAATCACCCCCACCCCAGGGGAATGGCCATACCTCAATCTCTTCTCCACACTCTTCTCAGGATTTTGGGCATGCATGCACATGTACCTGGCGTGAGTTTCAAGTCACCAGGTCCTGGGACTAGAACTGCGGTTGGCTTTGTGAGAGTCCAGCAACATAATCATTACACCATCTGCTGGTCCCCTCAATATATTTTAAACTCCAGCACAGAGTGACTTCAGGAAGACAGAAGAATGAAACTTTCCAGCCTTCTCCTTACAGAAACACCAATTTGAAAAACTGTTCACAGATGAAAACACTTTCAACAAGAGCTAAGAAAACCAGGTGAATGATGATAGCACTTGGATTTGGCACAGAAATAAGATGCACTGAAGACAGTAGGAGGATAGTTCCACATTGCCCATCTTAGCCCTACCCAAACCTAGGCAGCAGAATGGAGAGAGCACCTTCTACACAGGAGAAGGAAAGGGAAGTGAACACCATACTTCTTAGACCCCAACACTGGGCCTGCTTAAGTAAAACCTGGTACCAAGCATGCCAGATTTTAGGTTGGTATCCATGATCTAAATTTTCAGGCCTGTCCCACTGTCAGGCCCATCCTGGCTGCCCCAGTCTTCAAACCACTCCCATTTCCAGTTAGCTCCTCTGGTCCATCCATATTATTTGCACACAAGTGCTGCTGTGAGCATAAAACATACCAGATCTTTTTTTTTTCTTTTTTCTTAATTCATGATAAAGTGCATCAGTGTGCATGAGAGAGAGAGAGAGAGAGAGAGAGAGAGAGAGAGAGGAAGAGACAAAAAGAGAATGTTCCACAGCATCTGGACATGCTGAAATGCCCTTCTCCTTTAGTCCCCCAGCTCTTTGGACCTTGGACACTCAATACATGTGCCTGGTGTTTCTGGCTAACTGGGCAAAAGACTCAAACTGTAGTCATTATGTGGGATCCAGCTTCTCTAGAGCAACATATTACTGTGGTGCCACATTTTGGTGGCTATGGTACTTTGTTCATCATCTTTAATATATTTTTTTTTGAAAGAGAGTTTTGCTATAAGGTGTGTGCGTTCGCCAGAGAGAGACAGAGAAACAGAAATGGAGGAATCACCCCTGAGAAGGAAGGGCCATATGCAATCCCTTCTCCTCCTTTCTCTTCTTGGGATCTTGGGCATGCACACACATGTGGTGCCAGGTGTGAATTTATTTTTGTTTTTTGGGGTTTTTTTTGAGAGGTTTTTGCTATAGGACACGTTCACTTGCCTGGAAGAAAGAGAGACAGAAAGATAGAAAGTGAGAAATCACCTCCCCGTGGGGGCAGGCCATGCCACAATCCCTTCCTCCCTTCTCCTCTCGGGATCTTGGGCACGCATGCACACGAGCCCAGCGTGAGTTTAAGCCACCGGGTCCAGGACTTGAACCACGGTCGACTACATGGGAGTCCAGTGACATAGCCATTATGCTAACTGCTGGTCGCCCGGGTGTGAGCTTTAAGCTGCTAGGTCTGGGACTTGAATCATAGTTGACTACATGGAATCCAGTGATGTAACCATTATACCATCTGCTAGTCCTTATCATCTTTAATACTTCTTATCTCAAGGGCTCATTTTCATTTATTACAAAAGCAATATATTACTTTTGTAATTATAAATTTCAATTAAAAATATGTAAAGAAGGGTGGACCCATGGCCTTGTAATTAGGGGATCTAGGTCCCACACGGCTGACTATGTAGTTTGAGTCTTGGTCCCATGGCATCAAGAAACACACCGAGAATGTGCACATGCATGTCTAAAATCCCAACAGGTGGAGAGAAAGAAGGAGAAGGGATTGCATCATGACCATACCCCACTGGGGGGTGCTTTCTTCCTCTTT